TCCCCCTATAGTTGGAACACACCCTCAGGTCACCCTTCTTAAAGATGGGGACCACCACCCCGGTCTGCCACTCCCTAGGAACTGCCCCCGATGACCACGCAATGTTGTAGAGACGTGTCAACCATGACAGCCCTACAACATCCATAGCCTTAAGATACCCAGGACGAACCTCATCCGCCCCCGGGGCTCCGCCGCTGTGTAGTTGTTTGACTACCTCAGCAACTTCTGCCCCCGAGATCGGAGAGTCCATCCCCAGGCCTCCCAGCTCTGGTTCCTCCTCGGAATGCGCATAGGTGGGATTGAGGAGCTCCTCAAAGTATTCCTTCCACCGTCCGACTATAGCCTCAGTTGACGTCAGCAGCTCCCCATCCCCACTGTAAACAATGTGAGCGAGTTGCTGCCTTCCTCTCCTGAGGCGCCGGACAGTTTGCCAGAACCTCTTTGGAGCCGATCGATAGTCTTTCTCCATGGCCTCACCAAACTCCTCCCACGCCCGAGATTTTGCCTCGGCAACTGCCACTGCTGCACCCCGCTTGGCTATCCGGTACCTGTCTGCTGCCTCCGGAGACCCACAGACCAGCCACGCCCTGTAGGCCTCCTTCTTCAGCCTGACGGCTCCCCGAACCTCTGGTGTCCACCAGCGGGTACGGGGGTTGCCACCACGACTGGCACCGGCCACCTTACGACCACAGCTAGCAACAGCCGCCTCGACAATCGCAGAGTGGAACAAGGCCCACTCGGACTCAATGTCCCCCACTGCTCTCGGGACGTGGTCAAAGCTCTGCCGGAGGTGGGAGTTGAAGACCGTCTTGACAGGTTCTTCTGCCAGGTGTTCCCAGCAGACCCTCACTATGCGTTTGGGTCTGCCAGGTCTACGCGGCATGTTCCCTTGCCATCTGATCCAACTCACCACCAGGTGGTGATCAGTTGACAGCTCCGCCCCTCTCTTCACTCGGGTGTCCAAAACATACGGCCGCAGGTCAGATGATACGACTACAAAATCTATCATCGACCTGTGACCTAGGCTGCCCTGGTACCAAGTGTACCGGTGGGCATCCTTATGTTCGAACATGGTGTTCGTTATGGCCAAACTGCGGCTTGCACAGAAGTCCAATAACAAAACACCGCTCGAGTTCAGATTAGGTGGGCCGTTCCTCCCAATCACACCCCTCCAGGTCAAGCTGTCATTGCCCACGTGAGCATTGAAGTCCCCCAGCAGGACAATGGAGTCCCCTGATGGAGCACTATCTAGCACTCGTCCCAGGGACTCCAAAAAGGGTGGGTACTCTGAACTGATATTTGGCCCATAAGCACAAACAACAGCCAGGACCCGTTCCCCGACCCGAAGGCGCAAGGAAGCTACCCTCTTGTCCCCCGGGGTAAATCCCAACACACAGGCAGAGAGTCTCGGGGCTAACAAACAGCCAACCCCAGCCCTCCGCCTCTCACCCGGAGCAACTCCAGCAAAGTAGAGTGTCCAACCCCTCTCCAGGTCTCGGGTTCCAAAGCCAATGCAATGTGTCGAGGTGAGTCCGACTATATCTAGCCGGTACCGCTCAACCTCTGCCACAAGCTCCGGCTCCTTCCCCGCCAGCGAGGTGACGTTCCATGTCCCAAAAACTAGTTTTCTTGTCCGGGGATTGGACCGCCAAGGCTCCCGCCTTGGTCTGCCACCCGATTCGCATTTTACCGGACCCTTCATGTTCCTCCTGCGGGTGGTGGGTCCACAGTTGGACGAGCCCATGTATCCGGTTCGGGCTGGGCCCGGCCGGGCCCCATGGGCGAAAGCCCGGCCACCAGGCGCTCGCTCACGGGCCCCAACCCCAGGCCTGGCTCCAGGGTGGGACCCCGGTAACCCTCCGGGCCGGGTACTCCGACTCTTCGTTTTAACCGCCATGAAAGATCCTTCGAACCGTTCTTTGTCTCACCCTTCACCTAAGACCAATTTGTCATGGGAGACCCTACCAGGGGCACTAAGTGCCCCAGACATCATAGCTCCCAGAATCATTAGGGCACTCAAACTCCTCCACCACGATAAGGTGACGGTTCAAGGAGGAATGACGGTATATATATATATATACATGTTTATATATATATATATATATATATATATATATATATATATATATACACATATATATATATATATATATATATATATATATATATATATATATATATATATATATATATATATATATAGCCATGCCCTGATGTGGGGGGTGCGTCGACATGGCCGGGACATAGAAGGGGGTGCGCGGCTGAATAAGTTTGGGAACCGCTGATCTAAAGAAACCTTCTGCTCCATTACCTGCCTCCACTCCTCTTTGGGGTTGTCGTAGCTGGTGACCGAGTCATTGGACACACCCAAGACATCTTTTTCTGATCTGTTGATTGCTAACTGATACACAGATTCTCTCCTCCTGCTGCTCTCCAGCTCGTCCTCCATCTTTACTTTAATGCGGCCGGAAAAATCCTGCAGGGAGCGGTTTTGGAAGCAGTCCCGTGGGCCCAGGGGTTTGGGGTACGAGACAGAGGCTCGGCGCTGGAAGATCTTACTGGTGTTCCAAATATCTTCTTCCAAATCTGCGTCGATGGACACCCCCGAGGAGCTGCTGTTCCTCTTCTTTGGAGGTCTCATTGCTGAGACATACTGTGGAAGGTAACACTCGTTTATGAGAAATATTATACAAATCACTTTAGTCTGCTGGTTTTATGATGTTCCTCACATTATGTCTGTCCAGTCTGGCCAGGACTCCCAGGTCTGTGGTGTCTGAGATGCCTCCATGCAGGACCAACACCTTCTGATCAATTACCGTTGCTAATGGCAACCAGCTGAAAATCTTCTGCAGCAGCTTCAGGATCCGTTTGCCATGAATCTAAGGAGAAACATAGGAAAGAAGCAGAAGTTTGACTCTACGTAGTTTCAGTTTGTAATATTTTTGTTTCTGAAACATTTTTCCTCTGCAGCTTTTGTGACCTTTGACCTCCCTGAATCGTCAGATGTCCTGCAGTGATTCAGTTTAATGACCTGAAATCTTCTCAGCTGACAGGAGATAATATATATTATATTTATGAAGTTTTTATAATATTGTGTAACAGCAACTCATCTTTGCTCTTTAGATAAAAACATACATTCATCTGGATGCTCATAGGAATTATGTTTGCAGCTTTTCCCATAAAAATGTACCTTGTACTTCGTCAGCACTTCCTTAGTGAAGCCATACCTGAAAACAAGGATGAGGACATTTTGGGTTTTATTTAAATGAAACTTATGGAAGAAACCGAGACTTCTTGTTTTACAGTGTTGAGATTTTCCACCTCAGGTTGATTAAATGGTCCTCGTGGTTTCCTCTGTTCAGGTAGACGTCACACGGGTAAACGAGCAGGAAGGAAAACAGGATGAGGAGGATCTCGATGGAGTCTTTGCCTCGGTCCACAAAGTCTCCATTGAACACGTAGGGCTTCTCCAGAGACGGGACGCCGTTCTGAGGGGTAAACAAGGGACGGAAAGGTTAGAGGTCAAGCTGGACTCTAAATGGAAGCACCAGGTAAACCTCAGGGAGCTTCTCACTTCACCTGAACAGTTAAAAAAATACTATGCACATTTAGTTTTCTTGTTTTTATTTTGAAATTTAAAGTTGTCTTTCATTTGTTTTGTGATTTTTTTAACTTTGTTTTTCTGATTTAAATGTATTTCTCTTTTAAGATCATTTTGATTTTATGACTTTATGATTTGTTTTGTTGTTGATCTATGTTGAAGCACTTTGTGGCTCTCTGTCTGTGATGAGTGCTATATAAATAAGTTCTTACTGATAAATAAAATGTACTTACTGATAAAAAAATGTACTTACTTTTGAATAAAATGTACTTACTTATAAATAAAATGTACTTACTGATAAATAAAATGTACTTACTTTTGAATAAAATGTACTTACTTATAAATAAAATTTACTTACTTATGAATAAAATGTACTTACTTTTTAATAAAATGTACTTACTTATAAATAAAATGTACTTACTGATAAATAAAATGTACTTATGAATAAAATGTACTTACTTATGAATTAAATGTACTTACTGATAAATAAAATGTACTTACTTATGAATAAAATGTACTTACTTATAAATAAAATGTACTTACTGATAAATAAAATGTACTTATGAATAAAATGTACTTACTTATGAATAAAATGTACTTACTTATGAATAAAATGTACTTACTTATAAATTAAATGTACTTACTTATGAATAAAATGTACTTACTTATAAATAAAACGTACTTACTGATAAATAAAATGTACTTATGAATAAAATGTACTTACTTATAAATAAAATGTACTTACTGATAAATAAAATGTACTTACTGATAAATAAAATGTACTTACTTATGAATAAAATGTACTTACTTATAAATAAAATGTACTTACTTATAAATAAAATGTACTTACTGATAAATAAAATGTACTTACTTATAAATAAAATGTACTTACTTATGAATAAAATGTACTTACTTATAAATAAAATGTCCTTACTTATGAATAAAATGTACTTACTTATGAATAAAATGTACTTATGAATAAAATGTATTTACTTATGAATAAAATGTCCTTACTTATGAATAAAATGTACTTACTTATGAATAAAATGTACTTATGAATAAAATGTATTTACTTATAAATAAAATGTACTTACTGATAAATAAAATGTACTTACTTATAAATAAAATGTACTTACTTATGAATAAAATGTACTTACTTATAAATAAAATGTCCTTACTTATGAATAAAATGTACTTACTTATGAATAAAATGTACTTATGAATAAAATGTATTTACTTATGAATAAAATGTCCTTACTTATGAATAAAATGTACTTACTTATGAATAAAATGTACTTATGAATAAAATGTATTTACTTATGAATAAAATGTACTTACTCATGAATAAAATGTACTTACTTATAAATAAAATGTACTTACTTATGAATAAAATGTACTTATGAATAAAATGTATTTGCACCATTTCAATCAAAACTAAACAATCAGTAACATTGTTCAAGAAGATTTATCAAAAATAACAAACCTCAATGTACATTTGAAATATTTTATCCCAATTTCCACCTCATATACATGTTAATTTTTCAGTTTTTGCTACTGATTTGTATTAATTTTCTGATACAATCAAGGTGTATTTGTTTATAAAAATGCAAATAATAAATGATTTAGACCTCAGAGGGGCTAACCTTGTAAAATATCAGCAGCAGGTCTTCCAGCTGTCCGTGCAAATCTCCTGAAATGAGACAAGATAATGAAATATTTAGGAGGCTCATTAGTGACGGTGTTTGTGTTTTTACTTGTGCTTTTCTTTATTTTTCAAATCACACTCTGGAATGCTCTGATCTTCTTAGCCACAAAATGTAAAATCCAAAGTCAAAAAACAAAAAAAAATACTCTCCAAATGTTAGGTTTTCTGACCACAGATGGTGATCTCTTTGCTTTGGCAGGTGGAGATGCGGTTGATGTTTGGCAACATGCGGAGCAGCTTCCATGTCTCCAGGAGCAGCTGGAGAGCGTAACGCGAGTGCAGCTGCTACTGAGAGAGAGACGAGTTAACTGGAAGGTCACAAATGACAGAAAACGCTGTTTAACGGGTTCATTTACTTCTACACCAGTGTGTTCTGTGATCGAAGCACCAAACTGGTTGAAAACTCATCTCACTGCTGTCCACCTACTTTCTTGTTCCTGAAGGCCTCCAATAGGCCGACCGCCTGCTCCACCGTCAGAGGAAAGGTCAGGTGAGGTCCCGAGTAAACCTCCGGCACCTCAATGTTTTTGTAGCAGAAGTACCTCTCCCATTCTGCATCCAAACACACTTCATGTTCTCTGAAGATGTGTGAGATCAAGTTTCCTGAAGAGACACAATTCAAAGTTAAACACTGACTTTCACAACAAAGTGACCTGAATGAGTGTAGAATGTCTCACGTTCACTGCTGGCTGGTGTGAAGTTATCCATGAGGTAGCCAAGGAAGTTATAAAGCTGCACAGGACAGGAACCGGAAGGTTTCAATGCCTTATTTTTTCTTTATTTATTTGCTTGTTTTTGCTCTTTCCATCAAATTAGAATATGATACAAACGATCAATATTTCAGTAATTCAATTTAAAAAGTGAAACTAAAACATGAAACAGACTAATTCCATGCAAAGCCAGATATTTCTAGATTTTATTTGTTATGATTTTGATGATTATGGCTTGCAGCAGCTTATGAAAATTAATAATATGAATAAAATTAAATAATGTTCAGACAATTGTGATAAAGTTCACTATTCTAGGCTCCAAGTGTCACTCTGATCAGCTAATTAATCCAACACGTCTGCAAAGTGTTCCTGAGCCTTTAGATGGTCTCTCAATCTAATTTGAATTACTGAAATAAATTGACTTTTGCACCATATTCACATTTTCCAAGTTTCACCTGTAGTCTTTGGTGGTAATGACTCACCTTGATCTGAGCCTGCTCTCCAGAGTATTCGATGGACTGAAAGATATGCCAGGTGTACCTCCGTCTCATCTCTGTGCGGGCCACATATTGTCTGTACCATCGCTGAATCAGAACAGCAGCTTTTATGGCTGAAATACAAAAACAGCCAATTAAATAAAAAGTTTTTTAGGTGAGGTGACAAAAAATTTGGAGGATACTAAACTGTGTTCATTTATGGGTGTTTTTTTCTCAAAATTTCAGTTTATGTACAAGGAAAACAATCAAAAATTATAGCTGCAGGTTGTCATTCTGACTTTTAAATGTTTATTACTTGTGTATTTTTGTGTTTTTAAAGTGAAAATAAACATTTTCAGTTGGCAGAATTAATAAGTCATTATTTCACGAGTTTTTATTCATAAAATGTTTGAATTTCAAAGTGCGTACTCTATGGTGGGCCTTACATGTATGATACTTTGTTACATTTAACAAAAAAACTGTTACCTTTAGCTACAAATTGCAAAATTCTCAATTTGCTATATTTAGTAATAAATTCTACATTAGGCCACAAATTGCTTAATTCAACTACAAATTGCAACATTTAGCTTCCAATTGCTAGCCTGGAAATCTAGACAGACAGCAGCCTAAGCTAAATGATTTTGCTCTGCATGTCATATATTCACAATAATACAACTGGTTGCCAGGCAACCAAATCACTAGATTTTGAGACAAATTACTATTTTAATTCAAAAATTGATACATTTAGCTAGAATTGGCTTAATTTAGCTGCAGATTGGTACATTTAGCTACACTTTTCAACCAATGCTACATTTCTGTTGCAAAACATGTTGAATAAACTAAGTCAAAATTTAATTTCAGCGTGTTTTTACGTTCTAATAAGACAATGAGCTTCTGTGCTCTTTGAAGTGGAAAATTATTCTGTTTTGTTGTTTTGAAATTCCAGTTTGATGCGTGTACAGTTGGTCAATGTATTCTCTGCTCTCACAAGAGGTTGCCTTTAATATTTAACAGCGGACAATAACAGCAACAAAGGAGACAGATGGGACTTACTTGTGACGGCTGTGCGTCGGAGCAGAAACACAAAAGTTTGAGATTTCAGAAACAAACATGAGGTTTTTCTGTTTGACGTAACAGATGCTTTTTAGTTACCTTTCCTGGAGTTTTTATGGAACTGGCTGGACTTTGAAACACCACATCCCATGACTGTTCCTATTCCACGTAACCATGACAACATAAGAATTCTCCAGCATCTACCACTAAAGAAACATGGAAGATGGATGTAACTTCTGGGGCTAAACAAACATCACACGCAGGTCTTATTTAAGAGCTGGGTTTATTTTAGCTGCTGCAGAAGAGCTAAATTTGGAGGTCATTCACATTGTTAATCCTGTTACCTGCTGGTTACTCCTCACCTCTGTGACTGGCCTCAATCCTGCCTCAAAGAACTGTTTTTGTCCTATTTCTGCGAAGGATTACATTAAACAGTCTATGAATCGGAGGAGGCAGAAAATCCTGCACAGCATGAAGCTGCAGCTCAGACGGCACTTTTAACTGCCAATCTTTTGTTTAACATCAGCAAATAAAACATAAAAGAGTGTTTAATGATGAGAATGAATGAAAATGCACAACAGCATCAGAGCATTTAATTAAAATTACTTTGATCAATTCAAATAAAGCTGAATTTTATAACTTTAAAAAGCCTGAAGCTGTTAAATTTGATATATTTTCTTGGATCAACCAGCTCCTCCACTGTGAGATGTTTAAATCTGCTGTTTGCTTACCCGACCACCTCCAGTAACCACTTCCCAGGATATTTGATTGTCTGCTTGCAGTTTTGGTGGATATTCAAACTGCCAATTACTTTGTTGCATTCTCCTCAAGTTCACCTAAATCCGGTCAGGAACTGAAGTTTTTAGACCATTAGAAGCAGATGAAAAACAGCATTAGATCAACACAGAGGCTTGATCCTGGCTGCTCAGCTCTCCTTCCTCCTGCTGAAGCTTCTTTAGTGTTTGTTCTGTGACCACATAATCAAGGCACCGAGCCACAAGTGGATTATCTGAACTAATGACTTGATGCGACTAAAAGAGTCTTTATGTTAGCAAGAAGAAGGCCGACATCTGTTTACTGGATTGATTTTGACTGCAGGAGCCTCCTTTGATGTTTACACACACGTTTGTCTAAATTTAAAGATGTTCATGTTCAGTTTTTACTTTAAAAAGGCTCCTTGCATCATCGTGGTTGAATGATTATGTGGATTTCCACATTATAAGTTTTGATATTTTCATACAACCTTGCTAAAATCCATTTTTAAACAAAAACAACTAGATGTAACGTTTCAAACCTAAACTCTTATTTTCCATTAAACCACAGCTTGGATGGCCAAGTGTGCATGATAACCCCAAATGAGAACATTTCAGGAGACGTACTGTAATTTAAGGCTGTCCACAGAAACGGCTCACGTCCAGCTTCTAGAAGAGAAACAAGAAGGAGTCATTTGAAAATTTCAGCTAAAAACACAAAATAAACTTCAACACTTAAAACACAATAAAGTGATGTCCTATTCATATTTGGCCAGTGCTGGATCAACAGTAACTGGGAAGTTTACCTGATCACGTTCAGGCGTATTGACCGGGGGCTTCCTTTATTCCAGTTCAGACAAATGTGAATTCATGAGCTGCTTTTAAGAATTAATAGCATACAAACAATGCTTTTTACAAGGAACAGTAAGTCAGTTCAACATTTTTTTCTATGATTATCAGTTTTGATTTGGGGCAGAAGCATGCTCAGGAGGTAGAGCGGGTGGTCCTGTAATTGGAAGGTTGCAGGTTTGATCCCAGCGCTGCCAAAGAATGCTGCTATTGTGTCCTTGGGCAATACACTTAATCCACCTTGCCAGCTGGTGATGGAAAGCCTCACCTGTATCAGTGTGCCCCAGCACAGCTGTGGCTACATTGTAGCTCATCACCATCAGTGTGTGTGTGTGTGTGTGTGTGTGTGTGTGTGTGTGTGTGTGTGTGTGTGTGTGTGTGTGTGTGTGTGTGTGTGTGTGTGTGTGTGTGTGTGTGTGTGTGTGTGTGTGTGTGTGTGTGAATGGATGAATGATACACTGTAGTGTAAAGCACTTTGGAGTCCTTTCACTCAGAAAAGCCCTTTAAGTGCAAGTACTGTATATATGTGTGTGTGTATGTATATAATATTATATACATACATATACATTATATATACACACACACACACACACACACACACATATATATAATGTATATATATATGTGTGTGTGTGTGTGTGTGTGTGTGTATATATATAATGTATATGTATGTATATAATATTATATGCATACATATACATTATATATACACACACACACACACACATATATATAATGTATATATATATGTGTGTGTGTGTGTGTGTGTGTGTGTATATATATAATGTATATGTATGTATATACACACACACACACACATATATATATATAATGTATATATAATGTATATATAATGTATATGTATGTATATAATATTATATACATACATATACATTATATATACATTATATATACATTATATATATATATGTGTGTGTGTGTGTGTATATACATACATATACATTATATATATATATGTGTGTGTGTGTGTGTATATACATACATATACATTATATATATATACACACACACACACACACGCTGCTCACAAAATTAAAGGAACACTTTAAAGAAACACGTCAGATACATCAGATCTCAACATGAAGTTGGATATCTATACAAATAAGGACAGGGCAGTGTGTTAGGAACAAAAGGATGCCAAGTCTTTTAATGGAAATAAAAGTTATCAGCCTACAGACGGCTCAGTTGGGTAGACACCCTGAAATCGGAGTGAAATGAAGACGTGACAGGCTAGTCCATTATTTCAAAAACTTAATTTCTGCAACTCAGATTGCTTTTCAGTATCTTGTGTGGCCCCGCGAGCGTGTGTGCATGCGTGACAACGTCGGGGCTCCTAATGAGACGACGGATGGTGTCTTGTGGCATTTCCTCCCAGATCTGTGTGAGGGCATCCCCGAGCTCTTGTAGAGTCTGAGGAGCAACCTGGCGCCGCCTAATGGACCGAACCATAATGTCCCACAGATGTTTTATTGGGTTTAAGTCAGGGGATCGTGAAGGCCATTCAACTGTTTCAGTTCCTTCATCCTGCAGGTTCTGCCTGCATACTCTTGCCACATGAGGCCGGGCATCGTCGTGCATTAGGAGAAAACCAGGACCTCCTGCATCGGCGTAGGGTCTGACAAAGGGTTCAAGGATTTCATCTCCATACCTCATGGTGTCAGAGCACCATCTAGGCAGTAGAGGTCTGTGCGTCCCTCCCTATGGATATGCCTCCCCAGACCATCACTGACCCACCACCAAACCTGTCATGTTGAACGACGTTGCAGGCAGCATAACCTTCTCTTTGTCTTCTCCAGACTTTCACGTCTATCACAGGTGCTCAGGGTGAACCTGCTCTCGTCTGTAAAAAGTACAGGGCGCCAGTGGCGGACTTGCCAGTTCTGGTGTTCTTGAGCAAATGCCAGTCGAGCTCTACGGTGCTGGGCAGCGAGCACAGGGCCCACTACAGGACGTCAGGCCCTCAGGTCATCTTCCTGAAGTCTGTTCCTGATTGTTTGGGTGGAGACGTTCACACCAGTGGCCCTCTGGAGGTCATTCTGTGGGGCATGAGCAGTGCTCAGCCTGTTCCGCCTTGCACAAAGGAGCAGGTATCAGTCCTGCTGATGGGTTGTGGACCTACGGCCCTGACCAGCTCTCTGAGAATAACCGCCAGTCTCCTGATATCTCCTCCATGTTCTGGAGATTGTGCTGGGAGACGCATTAAACCTTCTTGCTGCAGCACGTGTGGATGTGCCATCCTGGAGAAGTTGGACAACCTGTGCAACTTCTGTAGGGTTAAGGCATCACCTCATACCGCCAGCAGAGAGCCAAAACTAGCACGAGTGGAAAACCAGCTAAAAAAGGTCAAGAGGGAGAATCTTGACATGACCTCTACATGTTGAACCAGTCCTGTTTTGAGGGTTTTGTAATTGTTGCCACTTTAGTGTGGTTAAGTCCATGAACACCAATACAGCTGACAGTGACTAACAATGCCCTCAGCTGCTTAACCAACCAGGAAATTATCAGACAGGTTTAATTGATTTCATGCCAGGCCCAATAAAAATGTTCCTTTAATTCTTGTGAGCAGTGTACATATATGATTTAAAACTGCGATGGACTCATGGCAACCTGTCCAGGGTGTACCCCGACTGTATCAGCCCCCCTGCGTGGATAAGCTTGTAAAGAAAATGGATAGCTGGATATGATTTTAAACACAAAAGGAAATTTTAGGAAAGCACAACCCAATGTTCTTTTATCTGAAATCTACCACTAAACACCTACTCGCTGTGGCAAAGTGTTTGGATCACAATTTTGTTCGGCATTTACAATTTACTATTACTTTTTTAATATTTCACTTCATTCTAGTCATGAGTTAAAACGTTTGTTTTCATTTGTGTGTCATTAAAAGTTCTAAATCAAAACACAAGCCGTGAAACCTCAGAATGGTTTAGAACAGAATTACTAACACAAAAGGACGTTGCTGCTCTTGAACGCCTCTCTCCCAAGTTGTAAACAAAGATGGCGCCGGCTGATGTGGGTAATGTTTCCTTTTGGAACTGTTAAATGAGTTTGGTACTGAACACAACATAGTTGTGTGGTTATGTATGTGATGTAATTTATGTCGAGCATTCAGTTAATAAAGTAAAGCATTTTAAACAGGTGTAGAAAAATAAGCTAGCTGCTGCTAGTGTGGTGCTACACGCCACCGCCATGTTTTCCCATTCACACCTGTACCTGCAGACTGCTTTCTTTTCTTTTGTCAACATTGTTTTCTAATTTTTACTTGATTTGTGACGGCATGTTGATGTCTTGTTGAGAGAAACTTTGTTTGTGTGTGTTTTTAGGAATAAATTGTAAAGATTTTACAACATATTCAAGGTCAAAATGACTTTCATAACTAGTGTAAATGAGGGCGCAGCAGCACACTGCGCGTCTTTGTTGTTTGGGCAGAGTGAGTAATCTATTTAGCAGCAGAGTCACGTGTTATTTGTGAATACTAAAGTGGTATTGTTGATTGAGTCTGATGTAAAAATTATTTACACACACACACACACACACACACACACACACACACACACACACACACACACACACACACACACACGGTAATCTGAGATGACTAAAAATATAATAATTAATGAATATTTAATTCCCCTTCTTGTTGTGACTTAAAACAAATTCCACATTAATGATAAACTCTGTCCTGTGAGAAACCAAAGCATCTCAGAGGGGGCGTCTTTTATTGCCCCATGATAATCACTTTTTTACACTTGGGCTTGTGCAACAAGGAGCCAGCTTGAAGTTCATCATTCTGACTCGTTTCATCCCAACTGATCTCTGCATGTCTGAAGATGAAGATCGCTCTGCTGGGAGCTACTGGGCAGACTGGGCAGTATCTGGTCAAGCAGGCCCTGGAGCAGGGTCACACAGTCACGGCCATCGTCAGAAACCCAGAGAAGCTCGCTGTGCATCACGACAACTTAAAGGTAATTACGTAGGGTGAGTTATGATGCCTATTATGATCCCACAACTTGAGCTTATTTTATTTTAGTTATTTTTTATGTACAATTTGTACTTTTAAATAACATTTTACATTACTAAATATTATATAACATATGATGGTATTTCCCATTCATAGTTTGGTTTTACTTTTCTTAGTACAATTTTTTATAAAAACATCTAATTAGTTAATTCTGTGCTTTCTGGCATGATGTGTTTTGGTTTTTGTTATTTTTGTGAACATTCATACAGTCAGCTGATCCCCACCAGCGTGTGAATGGGTGAATGACTGATTGTGTTGCGAAGCGCCTTGGGGGGTTGTAGAACCGCCAGGACAGGCAGTTTACCATTTAAAGCTTCAAGCATGCGTGTACATGAACAGCTGTGTTAGAGGAGGTGGGACAGTGCTGCAGCAGTCTCTAGCACCTTGTTAAAAGCTTGTTGTTCTTTATTTGTTATTAAAGTGTTGATAAGAAAAGAGAAAACTGTGTAGTTTTGATAAAGGGTCCAAGATCAGTGATGCAAAATCACAAAGGGGAATAAAAATAAAAAAACTCCACGAACGAATCTTCAGATAACATTATTGTCAGAATTTAAGTGAGTGAGTGAGTAAAGTTTATTTTTACAGCATCTGTCACAGAAAAGAGTATGCTACGTTTTTACATTTAGCTACAAACTACTACATTTATTTTATGCAAATTACATTAAAAACCTCGAAGACTCTAAATCTATTCAGTGTTATTAGGTCCTAACGGGACAGCTGCTGCTTGTTGAGCTTCCATGAATGTTTTCTTTTGTTGTTGTTGTGTTTTGAGGATTAAGCAGGATTCGACTCATTATTTAATGGGTTTTCATTCATAAAATGTTTGAATTTGCATGCTCTGTTTGGATTTGTGTTGGATGTACGATACGTTTGTGTAAACACAACACATTTCCACACGTAGCTACACCTCCACAGTCTGTGTCTTTACACGTTTTCCTGTTCTCCGGGCTCCCAGGTGGTGAAGGCTGATATTTTCTCAGCCAATAGTCTGAAGACTCATTTCAAAGACCAGGATGTGGTCATGTCCTGCCTTGGCTTCCCGGCTTCCCTCTTCTCTGGGGTGACGGGTTACACCATGTCCATGGCTGCAGTGATCGGCGCCATGCGAGAAGCCCGGGTCAACAGGGTCATCACCATGACCTCCTGGTACACGGAGCGTGAGTCGAGCATACAGAGCAGTACTCCAGTACTTTACTTTGTGTTTCTATCGTTTAAAAGAGAAAATGAGGAACATTTTTCATGCTGAAAATCAATCTGATTTCTGTGGTTTTTTAATTCTTGGAGCATTTTCAAGATGGCTTGTGAACAAAGTTCATTTGTTTTTATAAACAGATCTAGTTTTGAGTTGGAGAGGGAGTTGCTGCCAGCACTCCTACAGTTATGTTTTCTAAGAATAATTGATTAATTAATCGGAACCGTACGGATCGTGGATCACATCTTGTGATTAGACGAACCAAAAACTGAAAACACAAAAGCATAACTTAAGTTTATAATCTTTACAGCTGCAAGAAGAACTACATTCATATGTTTAATGCATCAGAATTCATCTTTTATTTGTTTTTGTTGTGATTTCTTTTGTTTTCCATGAATTGTTTCTTATTTTTAAGAACTGCTTTCCATTCTTTTACATTTGTGTTTTCCAGCCAACTCTGGAGCTCAGTCTTCGTATCTGATCCGGTTCCTGCTGCTGCCGATGATCAGAAGTGTCCTCAACAACATGTATGAGATGGAGAGCTTCCTGCAGAAAACCCAGGACATCAACTGGACCGTCGTTCGGCCCCCTGGCCTCAAAAACCTGCCAGCCACAGGTGAAAGTGCCACCGGAAATCAACACTTTAGTCATCTGTAGTTTAGATTAAACATGTTTTTGTTTTCTGTGTTTCGTTTGCAGCTCAGGAGTTTCTGACCCATGAGGGGTACTTTGTTCCCGATAGCCGCGGTCAGCCGGCCCGCAGCGCGGTGGGGAGAGGAGACGTGGCTCGCTTTATGCTCTCTTTGCTAAACAACAACGCCTGGGTGAAACAGGGAGTCGCCATTACCACTAAGTGAAGGAAAACCCCAGACGGACAACATAGCTGCACGTAAAACTCCAAATGTAATGACTTTGAATCCAGAAACCATGTTTACACCTCAACTTTTAATCCCTACATCATCACGCTGTTAAACATGAAGTCATGAGATCGTTGCAGACGCAGCAAAGAAATAGTTTGGTGTAACCTTATTATCTCAGGTTTTATGTGTTGTTGCCTGCTACTTACCGTAATTTCCAGACTATAGAGGGCACCTCAATATAAGCCGCACCAACAAAAAAAAAGGTTTACCACACACACACACACACACACACACACACGCCGCACTCGAATACAAGCCGCGGCGCAGCAGCCACATGCGGGTCTCCGGCGCACAGCGCATGCACGGCCGTAACATAAGATAATCAGACAGAAAGACGCTACACGGAGGTTTTTCCTTGTTTTAATTCAACAACAAAATGAGTTTTAAACCCGGGTGAACGTGTCTGCAAGCTTAGAAAAGAAAACAGCGCCGATAGCATTCATGTTTCTGGATGTTATAAAATAAAAACAGCACTGACACGTTATTACCGGTAATCTGCATGTGTAGAAGAACAGAACAGCGCTGACACAGCATTAATAAGCCCTGGATGGTTAGAAAATAAAACCTGCACACAAAACATGCCTGGTTAGTAAATAAAACACACCTGCCTACCAGAAGAAGTCATTCGCTCTCATCTTCCTCCTGCACACTAAAGCCATTAAAGTCCTCTTCTTCAGTGTCGGAGCTGAAGAGCCTCAGAAGAGCTTCGTCACGTACCTTTTCTGTGTCGATGTCAGCGTCGCTGTCCGTGTTGCTGTCATCATCCCCGGGTGAAGCTGGCTTGACTGAGTTCTTCCCGCTGCCGTCTCCAGCGCCGAACCGTGGATTCATTCTTGCCAAGCTTACGTGCGGCAGCGCTGTTTCCCTCCTTTACTGCCAGATCCATGGCCTTCAACTTAAATGCGGCATCATATGAACTCATACGTGTAGTTACCGTGATGAGGGGGTGTGGATTTGAAACTGGTGCCGGCTGCTTGCATGTGCTAAATTAAAATGGGCACTTTCTTCCATTTCCACTTTTGACTTCCACCTGTTTGACTTTCTGCTAAAGCGCCCCCTGGTGGCATGTGAAGGAACACCTTCAGTCATGAGTTATAAGCCGCACGGTTCAAAGCGTGGGGAAAAGTAGCGGCTTATAGTCCGGAAAATACGGTAACTGACTTGCACTCATTTGGATGCAGTGCCGTATATCTGCCACTTGGTGGCATCATTTTGCAAAAACTTGCTAATAAAAGTGAACCTTTTTAAAGAATTTTATTCAGTTTTGTCTTAATCAGGTGCAATACATCGTCTGGTGCTTCTGGACACGTCAGTGATGCTTCCCTGGAATATTAACGAGGGTCTTTTTGCTTCGGACATGAAGGTGTTTCAGGTTACCTTTACACGTTTCGACCGTCGTCTGCGGTCTTCTTCAGATGTCTTACATGTAAAAAGGTAACTCGAAACCCTTCATGTCCGAAGCAAAAAGACCCTCATTAATATTTAAAAAGAGGACATAATGGCCATTGTAAAGGATTTTCCTGGAGTAATTTCAGGTCTTTCAACGCCCTACAGCCTCTTCCAGGTGACCCAGCCAGGGTTGATCCGATCCCAGCTTGAGTCCAGAGAGCTGACTACTGCAATGTCTCCACGGAGCCACAGCCATCTGGAGTCCTTCTCCACCGCTTCGGTGGAACTGCAGATGGCTCATTGCTTACGCTCACCCTCAATGCCGAGGCAACTCCGCGCTCTAACCAGGAAGTTAGCTGCAACACCTCAGCAGCCGACTTCCACTGGGAAGCTCCTCACGCCCAAACCAGTCCCTCACACTTGGAGAGCTTCCTCTCATAGGGAGATGACAGCAACATGACTGGGGGACTGATGGTTTCCTGACTGGGGCTGCTTGCTTCCCAGCTCTGAAGGCAATAGTTTTGTTAAGATCTGTGTTGCCGATAACTTCTGCGGCTGACTGCAGGACCTGCTCATGCAGCTGCTCTCATATGGAGTGAAATTTACACCATAAACACTCCTGTAAGTGCGTTCCAAATCACAAACATTTTATTGTCAATTTTGGAAAATCTTTCAGAAAATAAATACTTTCATAAGGAGTCAAACTACACGGTACAATTTAAGATTGTTTTTTGTTTACATTTTGCATTTGTGAGAAGTTAAATAGACTTTTACATTAAATTCAAAATATAGAAAGATTTTTTATTTAGTTTCACAAACAAACCATCATATTTAACCAGTGATCAAAGTTAAATAGACGCAGCATCAGAAATAAAACTAGTTTATGATCACAGTGGATTCTTGGGTACAAAATCTGATAAAAACTATAAAAATATATAAATGTTCTCCATCTAAAAGCGGACTGATGTCCAGTTTTCCCGATCCTGCTTGTTGAGTGATCACTCTTAGATCTGTATAAATATGAAGTTGCTTTGACGCTGAACGTTTTTACAGTTTAAATACCAAACAGAAGAGTTTTTTCAGCTTTCAGCAGCACAAACCTCGTTTCTACGTCAGAGCTGCGTGTTTAGCACGGTGAACTCGTCTCACGGTCGTCCCCGCTCGCCGAGCCTTAAAGTCTACTGCTGTTCTGCAGCCGCTGTGTACAGCTCATTAATCTCATCCTGGTACATTTTCACCACAACGGGCCTCCTCAGTTTCAGGGTGGGTCCTGCACAAACCAAAAGAAAACAGTCCTTCTAGTTCCTGTTGAGTGGACTCTAACATCTGATCTCTGCAGAGATCTAATCCCTCCTGAACCCGCAGAACAGAAACGCTTTAATTTGACTCCAGCCGTATTAAAAAGGTTCAAATGAAAATAAATACTTCCTCTTTTTGGTGAGTTTTGAATCAGATAACAGAAGAAGAGATTACTGACCCAGTTCTCCACCAACGACAGAGAAGTCTCGCCCCAGAACGATCCACTTCTGGACCTTCTGGGCGTTGGATGTAGATCTGGCGTTGACTCGCTCCATTCCCTCCTGAATGGCTTTGTAGATTGCTGGCTCCTTATTGGCTATGACCTCTGACACCTTGGTTGATTTGACACCGTGCTGCTGGCAGAAGTCCAAAACTTCAGGACTCAGATCATCTGTGGGTTCACCGTTGTCGTCCATCTCACACTTTATTTAAAACATAAAAGAAGAAGCTGGGTGATGAAGCTGAAGCAGCTTCGGTCATGTCTGCAGGGAGGACGACTCGGTTACTTTGAGTGTGAGCATCATGGAGAGGAACTTGAGCTTGTCTCCGATCAGCATGGCATTGCTGATGATGGGCACCTCGGTCTTTACCGCGTCCTCGATGGGAACAGGAGGGATGTTCTCCCCACCTGCAGTGATGATCAGCTCTGCAGAAACAACCGTGTTCAGCTGAGTCTCAAGCCTGATGGTTCTACATGACCTTAAATACTCTAAAGAGCCTCTGAATGGATAAAACATGCTGTTTCTGCAGAAGTGATGCTTCTGGTAAAAGTTCTGCTTTTAATATTTTCCAAATGCAAATAATAATAATAATCAGGTTGTATATGGTGCTTTAACTCAACGACGCTGTAAATCATGCAGATTGGATTTTAAAACAGCAGACCAGTGTCACCTTTGATTCTGCCCGTGATGTACAGGAAGTCGTCCTTGTCGTGTTTTCCTAGATCTCCGGAGTGCAGCCAGCCATCCTCGTCCAGGGCCTCCACGGTTTTGTCGGGCATGTTCAGGTAGCCCATGAAGACATGTCGACCCCAAAAGCAAATCTCCCCGTTCCCGTCCTCATCTGGATGGTCCAGCTTGGTCTTGCAGCCTGGCATCACTTTTCCACAGCTGCAAAAACAATCCAGATGTGACCCATGTGCTAAAACAAGTCTGGCTTTCATCTGAGTCGTTTGGTTTCTTTTACTCTACGTTATCATTTTAAGCCTTCAGCTTGTTCCCTCCCCTCCCCCACTGACCTTCCGATGCGATACTGGTTGATGGAGACCGTGTGAGGTCCGGAGCTTTCACTCATGCCGTAGAGCTCCTTCACCGGGATGTTCAGGCTCATAAAGTACTCCAGGGTGTCTTTGGTGATGGGAGCAGCACCGGTGCAGCAGAATGTGCAGCGGTCCAAACCCAGACCAGCCCGGACCCTCTTAAAGACCAGATTATTAGACAGCATGAAGCCCCACGGCACCGCGTTCTCCCTGAGACACACGGGGACATCAAAGGTTCATGCCTCCAGACTCATGAACAGGAGTTAAACACAAGCTCTGATTAAAAGCTCACCCGTTCATTACGCTGTAGTTGTACTGAAGGCCCACAGATTTGGCCCAGTCCGCCAGTCTCTTCTTTAGCGGGGAAGCCTTGGACCCAGCAGCTTTCATCTTCTCTTGCATCTTCTCCCAAACCCGGGGAACCCCCAGGAAACCGGTGGGACGAACTTCTTTTAGCGTGTTTACCAAGGATCCCTGGAAAAATGAAGACTTACAGTTAAAAAATGGTCAACGACGGAACTTTTACGCCACCAGTCATCCGTACCTTTAGGGCGTCCGGATCTGCAAAGTAGATGGTTCCTCCAAGACTCATGCAGCCCCAAATGTCGATCATCTGGGCTGCTACGTGGCTGAGGGGCAAGTAACTAACCAGAACTTCCTCACCGTAGTTTTCATTTATCATTTTAAAAACCGTCCGGGCCGTCCAGCTGATCTAATGAGGAAAGAGAACAAAGAAGTACGGTTTTATTGATGAAACCCACAGCTAGTCGTGGCAGGTGGCTGCTCAGGAGGTTTCCTCTCCACTGTCCCTACATGCTTGCCTAGTATGGGGATTGTTGTAAAGTCAGTGACTTCATGCAATCTTCTGGGTTTCCTTAGAAAATGTACCCAACTGGAATGAAACACTGAACTCAAGGTACTGATCCATAGCTTTATGACTTGTGAGAATTGGTGCGACATAAATGAACTTTATGGAATAAAAACCCAGAAAATGAAGAGTAATCTTTATAAACTTGCAGATTTTGGGGCTCTGAGACTGAACATGTTAACATGCATGAGTGTTTAGAGACAGGCAGAGCAAGTTTAGTATGTGAAGTATATTTAATCTAAAGAGAACCTGACAGAAGAGCCTCTGAGCCTCTAGGCCAGTGTAGTCAGCTTTGGAGGGACGATAAAAGTGAAGCTAAGCGTTATGAAAACCGTGTGATGGGACCTTGTAGGGATTTTTGTAAATCTTCATGAAATGAAGCAACAATAAGAAAAAAGGTGTCAGCTTTTCTTCACAGCCACAGCAGTGATGCCCAGAAGTGTTGAGTTACCTTTAGTTTTCTTATAAGTTACTCATCTTTTAACTTTATTTTCACTATTTAACGGCTTTAACCCTTTATGTTTCTTTTCAACTGAGAAAATCCTTTAAAAAATACAGGAAAACTGAATAATTGGTGCTTTTTAACTCACTCTTATTTGGGAACTAAACCAAAACAGTGGCCTAGCGGTAGCGTGTCCGCCCCGGGACTGGCAGATCAGGGATTGATTCCCGGTCGGGAGAGACCAAAGACCCAATGCCTCCCCGGTTTGTCACTCAGCTTTAAAGGGGTTGGATTGGGGGGGTTAAACATCCTAAATTTTCCCGAGCTCAGCCACCGCTGCAGCTCGCCGCCCCCCTCCATGGAGACGGGTCAAATGCATAGATGTGTGTGATGACGACTACGAGACTACAACTTTAAAACATATGTTGGTCTATACACCAGTTCAGGAACTGGTTTTAGCTGCTCTTACGGGACAAGATCTTAAGCCTTTGGGCTTTTTCTTTTGCTGTTTAAATAAAAGAAGATCTAGACCTTTTCAATCTTTTGACTGGCAGAGGAACCAGATTTAGCCTGACCTCAGGGTGCCGCCTGTTACCTACATTGTCATGGCTCAGCATGACTCCTTTGGGGTTCCCAGTGGTTCCAGATGTGTAGATGAGGCTGCAGCACTCGTTGGACCGAAGGCTGTCAATCACAGCATTCAGCTGCTCGTTGGACACGTCCTCTCCAAGCTTCATGAACTCCGCCCACTACAGGAAGACAAAATAAAATAAATGATGCATCATATTTGGGTTTAATTAGGAATCCTGTGACTTTGCCTCGGGTGGCTCACCGTATACAGGAAGGGTGCTTTCTGCTGCAGCTCACCTTTATACTGAACGATGGCTTTCAGGTGAGGTAGCTGACCTTTAACCTGTTAGATTAGACAGAATTAGAGTGAGAACTGACTCGTCTGTACTTTGCTGTTAGCTATTGCTGTTTTACAGCTCTCAAATGAAACTCCCAACCTTTAGGATTTTGTCCAGTTGTTTCTGGTTTTCTACAACCAGGACGTCGGCTTCACAGTTGGCAGCGACATACTGACACGCCTCTGGTGAGTTGGTCGTGTAAATGCCCGTCGCCAGACCCCTGGGGCACAAAACACACAACGGATGCTGATATTTACCTAGCTGATGCTGAATGATCGACTGTTTCTGGTGTGTGACGGCTTTCATCTGTCTGAGGAGAAGCTGGTGCGTTAGTGCCAGTGTACCCCAGGGCAGCTGTGGCTACATCTCAGCTCATCCCCCACCAGGGTGTGAATGGGTGAATGACTGACTGTGTTGTACAGTACTTGGGGGTTCCAGGACTCTAGAAGGCGCTATATCAATAATCAATACTTTATTAATCCCAGAGAGAAATTAAGAGTTTCAGCACACACAATTCAGAGATCAGACACACATGGACAAGACACATGACAAGAACTGGTGACTGTGGTCATTCGCAACCCGAGTCGCGCTACCTTAATAGAGATCAGAGGGTTACATGAGGATTGGTTCAGGTGGAGGGAAAAAAGGCACTTCAGACTGTATACCGTCTGAATTACTAGAGCAGGGCTATTCAATTCCGGGCCTCGAGGGCCGGTATCCAGCAAGTTTTAGTGGTTTCTCTGCTCCAACACACTTGGTTGATTGGTTGGATCACCTGTGCTGCAGCTCATCAGGTTCTGCAGAAGCCTGACTAATTAAAAGTCAGGTGTGTTGAAGCAGGGTTAAAACCAAAACGTGCTGGATACCAGCCCTCAAGGCCCGCCCTGTACTAGAGCATCTATCAGCGATCACCAGCCGGCTAGAAGAGAACTTCCTTCAGTTAAACGCTGAAAAGACTAAATGTCTGATCTTTGCCCCTGAGAGCATGATTCCCCTGATTAGTCTAAAACTTGGTCATTTATCTTCTGCCGTCAAGACGAACTTGAGGAATTTGGGTGTTTTTGACCAATCAATGTCTCTTGAAGGCCTCTCAAAAACACTGGATCGAAACAGTTTTTATCATTTAAGAAAAATCTCCAAACTACGAAGGTTGGTGTCAAAACATGAACTTGAAATGGTTCTCCATGCCTTTATCTCCTCCCGACTAGATGACTGTAACACACTGTTTTAACATAAAAGCCCTTGACCGCCTTCAGCTGGTCCAGAACTCTGCAGCGAGGCTCCTAACTGGAGCAAACAGAGCACACATCACTCCTGTTCTGGAGTCTCTGCACTGGTTACCCGTTAACTCTAGAGTTCATTTTAGAGTCCTGACTAGAACTTTCAATGCTCTACATGGTCTAGCTCCTCCCTATATTACTGACCTGTTAAAGCTCCAACCCGAGCCCTCAGGTCCACACACCAGAACCTTCTAGAAGGTCCAGAGACCAGGTATAAAAGTGGAGGTGATCGCTCCTTCCAGACTGTTGCACCCCGACTCTGGAATGATCTTCCTTTATCCGTACGCAGCGTTGACGGTCTGGACACTTTTAAAAATCAGCTGAAGATCCATTTATTCAAAGCTGCTTTTATCTAAATCTTTTATTTTTTTTACTCAAATTTGTAATCATCTTTCATCTGTTTATGAAATTTTATAATTTTATGACGTTATTTTTTCTGATGTTAATTTATTCCTGTTTTGAGATCATGATGATTTTATGTTTTATTTTGCTTTGTGAAGCATTTTTTGATTCTGTGTCTGCGGTAAGTGCTTTATAAATAAAATGTACTTACTTATATCAAAACAGGCCATTTACCATTTACATTTAATTAATAAACCCAAATAAGATTTTTTTAATTGTCATCTTGTGAAAGTAAAACTGCTGAGCATTTGTTTCAAGGGCACTCCAAAAATATATAGTTTTAACAAGTTTAACCAAAAGTATCTGCTGGAATCAGTTCTTTTTATTATTTTATTTGTGTAATGTTTTTATTTTCCATTTTTTTCAAACGCTGGTAAAGTCCATTCTTATAAAATTTTACATTTTTTAATTTGTTATTTTTTCTATTTTTTAATAATGAATACATTATTATTTTTTATCTTAAAAAGATTCCTTTGTGCATTTCCCAAAACATTTTTTTTACATTTTCTAATGATTTTCTTAAAAAAAAAAAGTCAAATGTTTAATTGTAGAAAAGACCGACTGAAAATCTCTTCCTTATAAATGAATGGTGTAAAATCCTGGGGAAGGGTTGCAGCTCCAAATCAATTTGAGATAAAAGTTAAAACCAGTTAACTAAGTAAAAGTTACACGCCAAAAACAATCTGGGATTTCCAGATTTACTGTTTTTGTTTGCCGAGAAAAACCAGCTTTTGCACAAGCCTGAGCTGATTTCTAAAGAGAATTAAGGAAACACTGAGAAGCCCTCGCGCTCTTTAGTGTCTGTAAAACGGCTGAAACGGCTTTGGAAGGGTGCGAACACACGTCACATACCGGGCAAAGCAGAAGCAAACATGCAACACGTGATCTCACCCTGCGAAGATGCAGCCGACATCCGAGATGAACCACTCCGGAGAGTTGAATCCTAGGATGCCGACTCCATGGAAACGTTCCAGGCCCAGCTGCACGTGGGAGAGAACAAGAACCTGTTTTATTAATCACTAAATACGAGCTGTAACAAGCAGGGAATTTCACACAGGCTTTAGTTTTCACACACCCAGGAGCAAAGTGCTAGTTCAAGTTCATATGTGAAGCAGCGTCTGTGATTATTTACAGTTTAACTCCTGATTACGACACAAAACCGGCAGGATTTAGGCACTTATGCTACGTCCCTTATCCAAATCCGGCCGGGAAGGTGAGTTTAATGTAATAATGTTTAAATTTATAAATGAAATTAAGGCTCGTTTTAGAGCTAAAACGGGTTAAAACAGACTTAAATCCAACATGTTAACAAAATCTCCTGAATTATTTATTTCTTGTCTGTGTTGAGAAACAATAGGATCAAATTTTCGAAGATTTCCAAACCTTGAGGAAACTTTTAGCTGCTGTACGACATTCCTCATAGTACTCCCTCCAGGTCAGGGTCACCCACCGGCCGTCCGTCTTAGAAACCAAAGCTGGCTTATCCCCGCACCACTCCACCGTCTCCAGGAACATCTGATGGATGGTCATGGGGGTCTCTGAGCCCGGACCGGAGTTCTCCATCCTCAGCCTGACCGCCTTGTCTCTGCTGGAGCTCCACAGCTCCTTGGCGGGGGCCAAAATCGTCGCCAAGTTTGACGTTGACAGAGGAACGGCCTTGTGCTCTTCTGCATTGGGACAACAGCTCCATTTACTCGCCATGAACGATAAACAAGGAAAAAATCACACACACGCTGCTGATTAGAGGCAGAGGGAGAGGTGTGAAGACCTCCCTGGAGAAGCTGAGCAGGTGAGCCTCACCTGCCGTCTCATGCTCTGCAGCAGAGAAGTGAAAAGTGCAGAAGGCAGTGATGATAGATGACACGGAGCAGGAAGCTGAGGAATGTGCACGCTCACTCCCCCGCTCTTCTTCGGAATAAGGAAGAAACACCGCGTTTCCTTCTGGGATTCCTCTCCGTGTTTTAACACTTTTGCTGCTGCAGCTTCTCTAAAATCAGCTTTATTTCTATCTTTCATTTGCTGCATCTCAGTTTGAAACTATAACACATATTCAACACTAGATGCAGAGAAACCAGCTGCACTTTTATTTCTTATGTGGAAAAAAGCTTTTTCTAAAATGTCATTTGTTGTAAAGAGCAAACAAATCACCGGGATTTGTGAGTTTTCCTTCTGAACTTCTGACGTATTTATATCTTTTTGTAATCTTTAAACTCATCAGTGAGAAAAATATTCTGATCCGATTCATGCCAAAAAAATCTATTTAAAAGACACAAATGCCTCCTAAGAGGTGAGGTTATCTGGAGTTATCTCTGCAGTCATGCTGCTATAGGCTTAGGCTGCCGGAGGACCACTACTGATGCTGTCCTGTTGCATTGTTTCCTGTTATTTCAGCTGCTAACTTTATGTTCTCTAACAGTTTTTCTCCCCAGAAGAAGCTCCGCTGCCGTTCTGCTCAGCTGTGAAAGCCTCCTGGAGGTTCGGCTCCTGATTTTAACGTTTTTGACATGGAAAGTGCTCCCACTACTTCACCTCTTCATTTTGTGTGGTTGGCGACGTGCTCCATCTTCTTAAACCCCCAGAGGTTCGTACTGGGCCAGGCTGGAGGATTCTTCCTGTTAAAAGTTGGTTTTCCTCTCTACTGTCGCTACATGCTTGCTCAGTATGATGGCTTGCTGTAAAGTCACCTTAAACAAGTCAGTGACTCGATGCATCTGCTGGGTTCCTAATGGTAGAGTGTCCGCCCTGGGACTGTGAGATCGGGGTTCAAATCCCAGTCGGGTCATTCCAAAGACTTTAAAAATGGCACCCAATGCCTCCCTGCTGAACGCTCAGCTGTAAGGGGTTGGATTGGGGTTAAATCACCAAATAGTTCCCGAGCGCAGCCGCTGCTGCAGCTCACCGCTCCCCACAAGGATGGGTCAACTGCAGAGATGAATTTCACCAGCGTGTGACGACTAATGGGACTTAAACTTTAGGAAACGTTTAACTGACTGGATCTATGAACTGTGTTTAAGAGCTTTGAGACGACTTGTTGTAAATTGACGCTACATAAATTAATTGAATTGAAATGTCTAATTTGTACATCTTTATTTTAAAATCTGAATTTAAACTTTGCTTTCACTTGATGACTTCATATTTAGAGCACAATTTACCAAAAACAACATCAAAAAATAATTAAAGAGAATTTTCCGAACTACATTCTTATTTTTAGTATTTTGCCTTTTTGAAAAATCATAAAGCTTCACAGAAACTAGAAGAGGCATTTTCCCTGGGACTAGAGCCATTTTCTCCCAAACGTGACTCTGAAATTCCTACGTTACCTGGCGGAAGAACTTCAGCAGCTCCGCCCAGCTCAGGAAGACATCTGGGAGGTTTAGGAGGAGAGTTAAAAGCCGGGGCTTCCTTGGGCTCAGCTGTGTCCGCTTTTCCGTTGGGCATCACTTGGAAGTTAGTTTTCTGAGACAGGACACTAAAACATCCAAAATGTCACATTTAATCAACTTTAAATACTAAAATATTCTAAAAGTCTTTGCTTTTGATTGGATCTTCACACACCTGTCAGAGTTACCGTCCACAGCAGCATCTCCACTCACGACTGGACTTTCCTGGAAACTCATCATTTATTTGCTTTAAAAAACAGAGAAAATGAAACAAAAATCAGCATAAAAGCCTTCAGATGTCCTTTCCTGAGGCAGGCAAGCGGTCTGTTATGAAACAAGCGCTCTGCTCATTTATACAAACAGTGACATTCAGCATGTCGCTGCAACAGGTCAGCTCTGGTGACCGCTGATGCTGGAAATCAAAGCAGCAGATCCACATGTTGAAACTCTGATTATTGAGCCAGGAGGTTGTTGCTTCATCACTGAGCACGAATTATACGGTTCGTCTGCGAACGCTAGCCTTTCACCCAAATAAAAAGGTTGAAATTCAAACCTTTAACGGTTTCAGGAACTGAAATCTAAATGGTGCATCAGATAACTGCACAGCTGATGCAAAGTTACAGGATGCGATCAGCTCCATTTGGTCCTGGTTTGTAATTAAACACGCGTTAGATTAAGATCTGCTGAGGCACCAGTCTCAGCTGGACTCTGGGATTCCAAGATTACGCAGGGCAAGATTTCTTCTGGACCAAAGTTCGTGAAACTTACAAAAGCGTCGAAGTGGCGACATTTAAGTCTTTGCTCTAAATTGTGTAAATGTGAATTTGGCGTCCAGAAAACAAAAAAAAGTACAGTTCAGTCTCAGAAAAGCTGGAAACCCAGAAACGTGAAGCAGCTCACCAGAGGAAGGTGGGAAATATTTATCATTTAAAAACTAATAAAGAGAACATCAGCAGTTTAAAGTGGTGTGACTAAAACGACTCACACCAGTAGCAGCTTGCAGATGACATCTTACCTCGTCTCCTTTCACAGCTGAGTGACATCAGTCTGTGTGGGACACCTTCATCCACCTTTGCTCGACACAGGTAAACGACCAATAACCTTTGAGCAGCCGATCAACCTTCAGGAGACCTGAAGCAGATTTATTTGTCTCTTCTGTGAAATCTTGAGCAGCTAACGATCAGTCGGAGACTAAATGAGCTGAAACACGACACCCAAATGAGTACAGCTGCAGAAAGCTGCATGAAACACAGCAGCTGACAAACGCTGGTGTTGGTGGCAGTCAGTCGCTATTGGAAGATTTATGGATCAGTTCAACTTAGAGGGTGTGTGTGTGTGTGTGTGTGTGTGCGTGCGTGCGTGCGTGTGTGTGTGTGTGTGTGTGTGTGTGTGTGTGTGTGTGTGTGCTGTTCAGACCTCTATCAGCTCAGATCTGTTTTATGAGGTCTCTGAAACAAGAAATGATAAACTTACATGTGAGATTGTGAGAAGTGATGAGACTTTGACTGCATGAAGCTGAAAATTGCGCAACTTTTTTCTATGAGATAAAAAAATATGTAAACTCTTCTGTTGAAAAAAGATCAAACATTTATAACGATCATCTTTAACGGGCCTTGCTGTGAGTTTTGGTTTGTTTCAGGTCTGCAGGAGCTGAATGCTGCTTTGTGAGCAAATCTAGGGGAAAGTTTATCCCGTGACACGCAGTAACCCCACTCGGCCATCGTATCACACCACCCAGTCACACCACAGCTGTGCTGAGCCCAACACTTCCTGCAGGAATCCCTGTAAATGATTGGTGTGGTGGGGGGCTTTGACAGGGACACACACCTAGGAGGAAACCGGGAACAAGAACTCACGGAACATGTGAAATGTTCTGCAGCTGATGGACGTCTCAGATCAGCTGATCAGATCAGTTTTACTTTGATAAGGTTTAGGACAGCTACACTCATTATTTCTAAATGGTTTACAGATAAGTTTCTGCAAAAAAAGTTTGTTGTTCCATCCATGCAAGTGAACACAGAGGAGCTTCAGTCTGCAAAACCTTCATTAATGTGTTTCTTTCAAAGCTCCTTAGACTTCTACTGATGATGCAACAAGCTGAGCAACTTTTACTTTGAAATCCAGAAAACAAACATTTGTACTTTTGAATTTATAACAATGTACTTTAATCACTTTGTTGTCTAAAGCTGACGCAGATGTTGAAGCAAGTGTCAAACAACTGGATTTCTCACAAGACTTTAGGGTCTGACCCATTCTGATCCTGAATCTCTCGGAAAAAATAAATATATATAAAAAAAAATTTCAAAACATCAATTACAATTACTGGTGTTTTTAAAGCTTTATTTAATTGTTTTTGCAATAATTAATCAAAATTAAGCTTAATAATTTTCTTTAATACACTCATACAGGTAAATTAAATGGTTTTTCAAAATAAAAGCATTTAAAATGAGATCACATCTTTTGCTTGATTGGTATGAACAAAATCAAATCTAAACATTTTAATATTTTTATCAGAACGAGGCAGAAAAAAGTAGCATTAATTAAAGAAAACTATGAGAATGATTGGATTAGACGTGTATTTTGCTGAATGTCAGCGTGGTAACAGACAATCTTTATTAAACATCTTTTTTTGGGATAACCAGGTTCAAGATTTGCTTGCTTCTCATTTTCAGAACTTATATGAGTCACTTATCTGCAGCTGAACATTTTGTTCAAACTGGTCAAGATTTGGTTTCACATAATGAGCGCGATAACAAATGTAACCGGTTTGAATTAGTTTGGTTCCAGCCTTGCTGAAAACATTCCTAAGTGAATGAATTGTAGCTCATTAAAAATGCAAGCTTTGATAAAATTAAGTGTTTCTATTTGAACTTTTGTCAAACTTGTTTTTATCTGTGAGGATCAGCACATTTCATCCTGAAAATGTCAAAGAAAATACTTTTTCCACATTTCTTTATGAAATCCTTATCCTGGTGGCCACATCATCTGTCTTCCTCCCAGGACGTGGACATGAAGGTGGTAGACTGACTGGGATCCATCTCTTCCATCGTTGATCACTGAAAATGGAACATGTCAGTAAATAAAGAACCTGTATTTCTATATTAATAATTCTTACGATGTGATTTCATCTACCTACCCACTCTGTAGCCATCTGTTAAACATTCTTGCTTTGCCACATTTTTAGCAACAACTAATAAATGTCCCAGGAGCTGAAAGAGAAGTAAACGTGTCACGTTTCTGTTATTAAACACTTCTTTGGTAAAGCTTTTAGTTTTGCTTTGGACAAAATCCTCATCAACTCAATAAAAACTGTTTAAATGAATAATTGCAGTTACATCTTCGTAATGAAGCTGTGAAGTTTCGGTTATTTTAATTATATTATAATTTGCAATTAAAGCGGATTTTATTATTCTCACTGGTCCAAGAGGCAGAGAACATTAAGTTCTGCATTTCCTGCTACTAAACAGCTGAATAAAAGGCGGAAATGTGCTGCAGTAGACATTTTCAACTTCATTGATTGTGAAATTATTTCTGGATATTTTAGTTTGCAGCAAGTTGAATTTTTGGAGCCATGAAAAGGGAGCGCACCTCTGCGTCATCATCTGTGGCTGCACTTATTCTTGGGATTGGAACTCTTGGAATAACCAAGAAGTGAACAGGAGCCTGTGGGCTGATATCTCTGAATGCCAAACACTGTTTCACACACACACACACACACACACACACACACACACACACACACACACACGCACACGCGCACACGCACACACAATAATTACTTTAAAAGTGGTAAAGAATGTCACTATTGTGCAACTGTTCTACAGTCACCTTGTCATCTTCATAAATAATGTCTGCAGGGATGCTTTTATCAATCACTTTAGAGAAGATAGTTGGACCTGAAGAACCAAACTCGTTCCTAGCCTCCTCTGCCAGCTTCACCTCGTCCTTCTTGGTGCAAAGTGATCTCTGGAGAGACAAACATCACTAGTAAGAGAAACCATTAAGAGCATCGGAAAGGGGGCTAAACAAACCTCTGTTGGAGCAACAGAACTACTACGTGTGGACGTTTTCAGCAGCAGTGAACACAGAAAATGTTTATAAGAATGAGCAAAGAGTTTGTTTTCAAAGCAGCTACCTCGGTTCGGCTAACTCGCAGCAAGGGACATAACTGGGCCGCCCTGGTCCTGACGAACTGTGTTCGTAAAATATGACAAAAAGACATAGCTAGTTTTACTAGCTTTAAACGCCACAGTTGTCAATTTTTTCAGGATTTTTCGCGTTTTTCGAACAAACGCTTGTTTGCGGCTAAAACATAAACAAGCATAAACCAGGCTATTTTATCCTGCAAGGTAATGTTGCCTTTGAGTGCGTCATGTAAATACTAAAACTAAAAGTACTCAATCGTACGTGGCACGAAGCCTAAAATAAATCATAAATTTCACATCGTGTTTTTGTTATGTATAATTTTATTTCTTATTATATTTGACATATTTGACGATAATAATCAGATTTAGATTATATCGGTGTGTTTCTTGCTTGATTGTTCAGTGTGCAACACAGACTGAGGATGTTTTCAGAGTGAACTTAAAGGCGACATTGATCACGTGCATAAGGGTCGCTTCAAGAGCGACAATTTTATGAATTGCTAAGAAACCGTCTAAAACAACATTTGATTGCATTAAACGGCGATTATGTAAGATAACATTTAATTTCAATCACATTAAACGTGTAAAATTCATTAAATGTCCAATTTTTGACACTGGACATATAAAAGAGAAGAAATTATCATTCATTTGTTTTCACTTTTCACCAGTAGGTGGCGGCAACGCATCAATTTTGTTGTTTTGTCGTTTGCGACCAAGAAGAAGTCACAGAAAGAAACATGGCAGGCTGCATGAGGCTGCCCTTGTATCTCCCTAAAGCCTTTCCTCCTTTCAGAAACTTTAAACTCGTTCACACTGCCGCTACGGTAAAAGAACCCGCGTATCCGCCCATAGTCGCTTCTCTTACAGCCAAAAGCCAATCCGCCCGGCTGCGACAGATTGAGGAGCATGTTAAAAGGATCAGCGCCGCTCCCATTGAGGAGAAGATGTCCCTCATTACCAAAATCCAGCGGATGAAATTTGTCGTTCATCCTCAGACGTACGCTCGCAACGCAGACAGGTGGTACCAGCACTTTACGAAGACTGCGTACATCCCGGGCTTGCCGGAGAAGCTCGTCCCGGGTTCGGAGACCCCATCGGATCAGCTTGCAGTCCCTCTGGGGATCGATGATGCTGCGTTCGCGGACATCCGTGCCCTGGTCACCAGGGTGATTCTACATGAGCACTGGCACAAGGTAAAGAAACGCAGACCGTTCTTGTACAAACACCAGGAGCAGTTGGTCGGTCCTTTTCTGAGGAACCTGGTGGCCGAACTCACCTACAGTTTGGGCAAATACAACCCCCTGTTGCGTTTCTCCAGTCTGGGTATGAGTTTTCGATAAAACATCACTATCGTTATTATTAGGCTTATCAGTTTTAATCACATACATTCTATATGTTCATTTGTCAGATCTCAGCCCTAAAGTGAACTTTTATTGGAGGAGAGGTAAGAGAATAATCCCAAGGGGGCACCGGAAAGGTCGGCCAGAGCCAATCAGGTTTCAGATCGATGACCACCCAAACAGCCAGATTAGAATCACCCAGCAGTTGCCAGAGGTACAAATTAAGATTATGGCCCATGCAGTTAAATTCATATTGCAATGTGTTCCACGTAGCAGAGCACAGGAACAATGAAAGCCTATTTTTCTTACATTTTGTTGTTTTGTCGTTTCTAAGTTTGTCCCACAGGAAGCTTCATACACAGCCGAAGTCCCGGAGGTCCCGTACGCCCCTAATCTGATGCCTCTATTCAGGAGACAGTACAGCAATCATATCTTCACAGGTATTCAACTAGATTGTTGTAATTACAGAAGCTTTCCACTAGGGGGTGCCATTGCGTATCTAACCTATCTTCGTTAGCTACCATCATTTTAGTATTTTCTGTTCATAACACTATCCGTTGCTTTATTTGTTAACGTATAATAAATGTCTTGTTACATTACATAATCCTCAACTCAGACAGCAGCTTCACCGGTTGTATTAAACCGTTGTCCTCTTGGTCTCAACAGGTGCAAAGCTGCCAGATCCAGCATGCTACGGCCACACGCAGTTCCATCTTGTCCCCGATCGATACCACAGAGACCGGCTGGCTCAGCTGGAGCAGTCTGACCAGGTGGAGGTCTTCCTCAGAGCCAACGCAATGGCCAGTCTGTTCGCCTGGACTGGAGCTCAGGCCATGTACCAAGGTGCGTTATGTTAACCGAGCACTGATATCACTTTAGCAGCCTCTCCTTTTCTTTTTTAACACTTGACTGAAGTTGAGTGAAGACGTTTCTCCTGGTGTTGACTCCTTCCTCTCACCTCTGCAGGTTTCTGGAACTTCGAGGATGTCACCAGACCTTTTGTGTCGCAGGCTGTGATCTCAGACGGCCACTTCTTCTCCTTCTTCTGCTACCAGCTCAACACGGTGGCCCTTTCTGTGGAAACGGATGCAGACAACCCCAGGAAAAACCTTTTGTGGGGCACCGAGAGCCTACGACTCTACGAGAGCGTGCAGGATGGAGAGGTGGTGGGTCTGAACGACGGCGTCATCAAGCTTCTGGTTCAGTTCCTCATGAATCAGCCGAGATAGATGTGCAGAAAGGGAACATTGTAATTCTTCAGAATGGTAAAAGGTTAGAGACGTCTGTACACGTCCAACAAAGAAGTGTAAGCTTGTGCCTGGCAGACACAACTGAGGGATCCTGGTTCTTTTAGGCAGATTAAAACATGTTCACATCTGGTTGTATTTATGAAAAATAAAAGGACCATTTCAAAGTGAAACTAGAATTTTTGCCTCATTTACCGCCGGTCTTATTTGGCTACTAGATAAATGTTACTCCAGAAACCTGCACGCAGTCCGGTATTTCAGCAGTTTTAATCTGACTTTTGCACATAAACAGTACAGTGGAAGCTAGAGTGGTGTTTAGGTGAAACATTCTGCTGTGTGGAGACCGTTACACACACGTCACTAACAAACAGAACGCCGATGCTGGCAGCGGGAAGTTAGTTGCTCTCTGGAAGTGTAAGGCACAGCTAAACTGCTCACAAACTACAGCTCATTAAACAGCCAGATGAAACAAGGATGAGAACCACTATCGTCTTGACAGGAAAGCAACAAGATGCATGGTCTGCTTTTAACCGCACTCGTGCATCTCTCCAGGAAGTGAGCGAACAACAAGCAAAGCTTTCAGCCGTGCAAAAACTTCAAAAATACACGTTTGCCAGTTGAACAGGAAACTTGTGTAACAGTCGGAGGTGATGGCTACTGTAGTTTTGAGGAAAGGCGGGAAACATATTGCAAAAATAAACAATAGAATATTGCTATAGAGCTTATTGCACAGCATTTTATAGACTGAGGTCTCAGGCATGATCTTTAGGCTTTACGCTGCCTCACTGAATTACTTTCCTCTGCTTCTTTAGCATCTCCCTGTGGCCTGAAGAAGACATGAACACATCAGATGATTAAAAGCAGCAAACAAACAAATAACAGGAAAAACGTGCTTAAAGTACTCACTCTGTGTCCCTTTGGTCAGCAGTAGATCCGTTTTCTGTGGATGTCATTTCAAAATAGTTTTAAATATGAGAAACTAGGCGTGGTTGTTCTAAACATTACGCAACAGGAGGAACGTCTGACGTACCTTCTGTGTTGCTTTTCTTGGACTGACTCCTTTCATAGAGGAGGACCGCAGCAACCAGAACAACGACTTCAACCAGGATGTATAAGAAAGGCTTCACCGGCTCCATGAAGGAGATCACCTGTGTCACAGATCCAAGTCCCTTTTAGATGTATTCTCAACGGTTCCATCAGAAGTTATTCTTGTTAAATTTTAGCTAAAGAAAGTTAAGAACACATGATCACAGTTGTACTCATCCACTGACCTTCAGCTCCATGCGGCTCATGGAGATACCAATGGGGTAGACAGCACCACAGTAATACACACCAGAGTCAGCATCACTCAAGTCTCTCATCTTCAGCTTGGTCTTGAACGTTTTCTCATCTTTCTCATTAATGATCTCGTAGTGTCCAGGCGTCACATCAACAGTAATCTGCTCCTGCAGGACAAAAGCGTCCCACCACCAGGTTAGTTACCTTTGTTTCGGACCAGATTCCTCATGTGGACATCAACAGCAGCAGGTATGTTTAGGCTTGTTTATATAGCATTTTGTATTTTTTATACTTAAAAAATCATCCAGGTCTAAATGAATTTAATTTAGCATGAAATGTATTACAAATGTCAGTTTTGCTAGTGCTTACTTTACATCCCATTTTAAATGAAACATACTGAATATCCTCAAACGCTAACAGACCTTTTCCGTGCCATTGTCCTTAAACCAGGTCCAGGTGCTGGGCTCTGGATGTTTATTATCCATTTTACACGTCATCACAACAAAGTCCCTCAAATAGCTGACTATGGGCTTATCCCTTTTTTCACCAATTTGTGGAACTGGAAAAGAAAGATGACACCGAGTTTTAATAAAAACGCAGCTGGGAGTTGGCCGAGAGTGCCATGCCACGCGTGCAAACTCTACCTGTCAAAACAAACGTCATCTCGGTCTCATCTCCAAACACACACGAGTAATTTCCAAGGCTTTCCTCACTGTTAATTATGAGCCTGCAAAGAAATAAAATTATACACAAGAGGCTTAAAACTCAAGGCTTTTAGTTTTGATCATAGATTGTGAAAAGGTGTTCATGGTTTTGATTGATGTTATTCATTTTTCAAACAACAGTGCTGTACGAGTCACAGCGGCTAAGGTCCAACCCTGGTCCTCAAGGACCTCCTATCTGTTTTATTGAGATGTTTCTGTGCTCCAACACACCTGTGTTCAATAGGCTTCTGCAGAGCTTCATGAGCTGCTCAAAGGGTAATTCACTCATTCAATCAGGTGTGTTGGAGACTCGGAAATGCTGGAGGACCAGGATTAGACACCTGCACTTATTGCTTTGGGACGTCTAGTTTGATATTTTATTCAAGTTTAGGGCAATGAAGTGTAAATTGCATTGAAATTTAATCTTTTTGATTTTTTTTTCTTTAAAAATAAATCAATAAATAAATGGAAGCCATTAACGACCCCTTTATGAACGGTGATAACTTCAGAAGGGGAAACTTACACTACTTTGATATTATATTGATCGTTCTTCAACTCCACTGTGACGTGACTATCCGGACGTTCCTGTCCATCTTTCCTCCAGTAACCGGGTAGGTTTGGTAGTTTGTTCTGATTACCTGTCCAGGTGCACTCAAGAGTCACATTGACGTGGTGATGCAGTTCGATTGTCTCGGGCTCGATTGCATCTGTGTGAAACCATGCAAGCAAAAATTATTAATGAATAAATCTATGTGAAACTTTTTTAAAAATCGAGGTAAATAAAAATGTAAAAATATGATGAAACAATTTTTTATGGGTTACCTTTCAGCTCGAATTTTTTGGCTGGTAAAGAAGCTTCTGGAACCAGCGGCGTGGGCGTTGGACTCGCGGTTTCTGTTAGCAACAACAAAAACCTTATTTGCAACAATCTCGCTAAAATAATTTGAATTAACATTTTTTTTAACTACAATGACCAAAATTCTTTTTATATTATATAGCTGTGTTTGAGTATGGAAGTTAGTTGGGCGTTTTTCAGAACAATAGCTATTGCTAACATGCTACCAAGCATGCTAATGTTGCTGCTAGGGTGTTCTGGTTGTTGCTAAGGAGATTTAAATACTCGGACCGGAAGCGGGAAGGCTCAATGGACTATATATATATATATATATATATATATATATATATATATATATATATATATATATATATATATATATATATATATATATATATATATATATATATATATATAGGCTCAATGGAAAATATCCTGTTTGTTGAAAGTAACAATTTGAAATAAATACTAATTTATCAAATAATACATATTTTAAATAGCAATTTTAAATGACCTTCAAAGCCTTTTGTAAGACTGCTAAAACTTAAATTTGTCATAAGCTTCAAGTGGGTTTAGTTCATGTCATAACCTCTTTATGCCATTTGAATTTAAAAATGCAAAATTCATATTAAAAATAGCTTTCAAAACAAGCTGATGTTCTGAACCAAGTTCATGTTAACCAAGTGTTATAAAGAAATTTGGCTGGAAATTAGTCTCATACTTTAGTTTGAGACTAAAAGGCTACTCTTTTGTGATTTAATTTTTTTCTCCTCACACATTAAAGGTCTAAAACACATAAAGTTAGTCTTTCCAACAGAAATGTATCTAAACTGTCAGAAATCATTCCCTCTTCCCCTCACTAACGTAACGAATTTGGCATCAAATACATAAACAACATAAGTGTGTTGAGTTAAGCGAACACCACAATGCCTGCAAAAACAGAGGGAGGAGAAGCAAATGGTTTCAAGCAACTTTAGGCTGATAAAAACAAATTCTGGTGATTTATTGTTGCAAGAAGAGTTTATGTTACAAGTAAAACACATTTGTTTTTCAAGAGCACTGCAGGTGTGGTACGCTGCAGGTAGGCTTGGTTGTCATGGCTATCATATCTCCTCAGCAAGCAGAAGAAAACCCAACACAATGATGCTATGAGTCAAAATAAAATCAACTGAAGGGCTTCCTTTTGGTGTATTCATGTTTAAATATAAGTGGAGATAAACAGTCACAGAAGTGAACACTGACATGACTGCAGGTACGGAAATATATCTTTACATCTAAAGAAAAAGTCAAAGAAGCTTATCACCAAAACAGTGGGATTACGTCTGTGAGGACAGCTAAACGGGTTAGATCAGTTAATGATTTTGACAAATCAGTTCAACCCAATTTGTTCTAATTCAATTCAATTTTAAACATAAACATGATTAATATCAGTCAATTAGGAGTAAAAGTACAACCTGAAGAGAACGCAGCTAAGGGAGTCACACCTCCACTCTGAGCGTGCACGTGGGGGTGGGCAGCCAACTTTTACATCTAAAATTAAATTTTCACACAATTTTACCAAATGTTACCCTTAACCCCGCTATTAAAATAAAAACGGTCACAAACTGCTTCATCTTGGGTCTTAATTAGCATCATTAACATGTTACAATATCCGTGTGTTTAATTTTTACTTATAGGAGGAAAATAAAACTAAGTTCAGGTAAAATATGAACCTTTTTGGCCAAATAAAAATTTCTAGAGCTGATTTAATAATAGAACAACTTATTTAACTATTTATTTTAACCTGAATCCTATCGTCTGCCAGTCGCTCTTTACAAATTCAAAAGAAAATAAAACTTTAACAAAATTTCATGAGGTATAAGCAATTTAAATTCAAATAATGTGTACATCAGCAATTTTAAAAGCATCTTGAAGTTATTTTATATACTTATAGTGTACATAAATAATATTGCATCCCCTGCTTGTCCTTGGTGGTCCCATTATTTAAAAGAAACACATATATACATATTTATAAATAGACATGCATGTCTTTTGAAGAACATTAACACAACTAGTAGGGACATTTTAAAAGTGACAAAAGTACAGGAAAAGAGAAGATGTGGTGTAAAGGTGAGGACATTGCTGTAATTTCCTCCTCCCCTCACAAGGTTACAGGAACATTTCGTGACTTTTAGAAGAACTGAGTTTTAAACGGGTATAAACACTCAACAGTTCAAATCAAACCAAAATTTCCTTTACTTGTGCTGATGTGTCTGCAGGAGGCGAGAATCAGGAGGATCTGCTTCCAGGAGGCTGTCATGGTTGTTCTCTGTGTGTCCTCTGTGAGACGGTTCCTCACTCTGAGTCTCTGCTTGCTGCATCGCTTCACCACCACCCCACCTGCCCCTCCCTCGCCTCACCGTGACGTAGCTATGAGATCACCACTCAGCCTGTGTGTGTGTGTGAGACTCCATCCATTATTCAGTGAGACGGGGTTCCTCACCATACCTTGATGCTGTTGAAGCCTGCCGCACACAAGAGCAATCTGCTGAGCACACGGTCATTCGAGGCCGTTTGCTCAGCAGATTGCTCTCGTGTGCGGCAGGCTCAACTCCCAGTTGGAAGGTTTATGCAGAATAAAATGCTGACAGATACTTTTGTTTCCTGAAGCTAAAATGTAGCTGCGTGTTGATAAAAACCATCAAATCCATCTGTGTTCAGCTGGTGCCGTGGAGCTTTCTGCAAGCTACTGTGTCGTGTTATCTGAGACGACCTGGCAGCCCGTGGTCACATGATCAGGCCCGGCCGTTTCATGAAAGGAGTGGGAACAATCCCGCATTATAAAGCAAACAAACATGTAAATTTAAAACAGAGATTTGAAATAAGGCAGAACTAAAGAAGGGATTCTTTTTAAGTGAAGTGTTCGTCTTCCAGATTTCTGTAAGTTATATTTACAACATTGTTCAGAGATGTCGTGTTGCTTCATGGATTCACACACAGGAAATGCATCACTGAGGAAATGCATCACTGTGATGAATCACAAAAACGTCCAAAAGGATATTCTTAATATTCCCAAGTCATTTTACTTTATATTTTTAATTATAGAAGTGACTCATTTACTTTTTCTAAGTAGATGCCTCTTTTGACATTTTAACTATATAATCAGTTTTATTTCATTATCTGTAGGGGCCCTCTGCCCCGGGAGCGGTGGTCGACTGTAGCTTCCTGGGCACTCTATAGGTGGGGGTCTATGCTCCCCCTCCACTGAGCGCACTGACTTAGTGTGGAAGACCTGATGCTGCCGGGGCAGACGGCTCCTCTGATGGTGTTTCCTTGCCTTACCTTACTGGGCTCATCTGGACTCAGCCAAAGTGTGTGTGTGTGTGTGTGTGTGTGTGTGTGTGTGTGTGTGTGTGTGTGTGTGTGTGTGTGTGTGTGTGTGTGTGTGTGTGTGTGTGTGTGTGTGTGTGTGTGTGTGTGTGTGTGTGTGTGTGTGTGTGTGTGGAAAACTCCCTTTTAACAGGAAGAAACCTCCAGAGAATCCTGGCTCAGTATAAGTAGCCATCTTCCACGACTCCTACACTGTGATTTCTTAGTAAATATTCTATTTGGTGAGAGATAAACTTTATTGTATTTATCCTAGCGGATCTATAATTAAACGGGTAAACTAGTAGTAGCACATCCAACGTCAAAGAGAGTAAAATGTTATCAGGAGAGGGAGAATGTTTAAGTGGTTAGCAGCAGTGTGCTAGACGATGGCCCCCTCCATGAGGCCACCACAGCTCAGCAGAACATCGTTGTAGCTTCTTCTGGGGAGAAAAACACTTAGAGAGAAAATAAAGTTAACAGCTGAAATAGCAGGAAATAATACAGTTAAAGAGCAGACTGTAGAAGAAAGTAGTAGAGTGTGAAAAGTGGTCAGTGTATCCTCCAGCAGTCTAAGCCTATAGCAGCATAACTACAGAGATAACTCTGGATAATCTATCCTATTTAGATGGAGGCATGTTGGAGGCAGGGCAAGGGAGAGCAGTCTTTACCGACTGTACACTCCACCTCCCTCTACTCCCCCACTTGTCCAGATCTAGGCTAACATCAGATTTTAACCATAGGCCCTATCAAATAAAAATGTTTTAAGCCTAGTCTTAAAAGTAGACAAGGTGTCTGCCTCACGGACTAAAGCTGGGAGCTGGTTCCACAGGAGAGGAGCCTGATAACTAAAAGATCTGCCTCCCATCCTAATTTTAGATATTCTGGGAACCACCAGTAGACCTGCAGTCTGAGAGCGAAGTGCTCGGTTAGGAACGTATGGAACAATCAGATCACTGATGTATGATGGAGCTTGATTATTAAGAGCTTTATATGTGAGAAGAAGGGTTTTAAAATCTATTCTGAATTTAACAGGTAGCCAATGTAGGGAAGCTAAGACAGGAGAGATATGATCTCTCTTTTTAATTCTCATCAGAACTCTAGCTGCAGCATTTTGGACAAGCTGAAGACTTTTAACTACATTCTGTGGACTTCCTGAGAGTAATGAATTACAGTAATCCAGTCTTGATGTAATAAATGCATGAACTAGTTTTTCAGCATCACTCCTGGAAAGTATGCTTCTAATCTTAGCAATATTCCGAAGGTGGAAAAAGGAAATCCTACAAACCTGTAACAAAACAAAGCTGGGATTTGAATGACATGTCCTGGTCAAAGATAACACCAAGGTTCCTTACTTTGTTCTCGTAGATTAATGTAATGCCATTCAGGTCAGGTGATTGACTAAGCAATTTCCTTTTCTGGATTTCTGGTCCAAAGATGAGAACTTCCGTCTTGTCTTGATTTAAAAGCAAAAAGTTTAGAGTCATCCAATGTTTTATGTCCTCAAGACAAGCCTGTAATCTACCCAACCGATTAGGTTCATCAGGGTTAATGGATAAATATAGCTGAGTATCGTCAGCATAACAGTGGAAGTTTATCCCATGCTGTCTAATGATTTTACCAACTGGGAGCATATATATAGTAAAAAGAATTTTCCAAGCACTGAACCCTGGAGTATGAAGAAGATTTGTCATGTACATTTACAAAATGAAATCTGTCAGACAGGTAGGATTTAAACCAGCCTAACGCTGTTCCTTTGATCCCTACAACATGTTCAAGTCTTTCTAAAAGAACATTGTGATCAACTGTGTCAAAGGCAGCACTGAGATCTAACAAGACTAGAACAGACACAAGATTCTTATCTGAGGCCATGAGAATATCATTTGTAACTCTCACTAATGCAGTTTCAGTGCTGTGATACTCTCTAAAACCAGACTGAAATTCCTCAAACAGAGCATTAGTGTTTAAATGCTGACATACTTGGATGGCCACTATTTTCTCCAGGACTTTGGATAAAAATGGAAGGTTAGATATTGGTCTATAATTCACTGGGTCATCTGGATCCAGAGAAGGCTTCTTAAGTGAAGGTTTGATTACAGCAACCTTAAAATCCTGTGGTACTTACCCATACACTAAGGATAGATTGATTGTATCTAGAATGGGGGCAGTAACCAAAGGAAATGCTTATTTAAATAATTTGATTGGGATTGGATCCAAAATGCAAGTTGAAGGTTTAGATGAAGCTAATATTTTTGATAACTCTGAAAGCTCAACTGGATCAAAACGGTTCAAGCACAGATGAGGTTCTACAGTCACCTCTGATGCTGCCTCACTTACTGAGGAAGAAGAAATCGCATTAGGGAGAATGCTAAAGATTTTTTTTCTAATAGAATTAATTTTACTTGTGAAAAATCCCATGAAGTCATTGCTGCTGAGGGCTAAGGGAATAGATGGCTCAGAGCTATGATTCTGTGTAAGTTTAGCAACTGTACTGAAAAGAAATTTAGGATTATGCTTATTCTCCTCAATTAGTGCTGAGAAATAAGCAGTTCTAGTTTGTCGAAGCTTATTTTTATAAAGCACAAGACTATTTTTCCAGGACAGGTAGGCCTCCTCATGGTGTGTAGAGCGCCATGTTCTCTCCAATTTCCTAGAGTTTTGTTTTAAGGCTCGTAAATGAGAATTAAACCAGGGAGCCAACTTCCTGTCCCTAATTACCTTCTTTTTTAAAGGGGCAACATCATCTAATGCCACACGTAAAGAGGAATTAACATGATGAACTAAGGCATCAATTTGTGAGGGGCTAGAACTGAAAATATTGCCCTCTGCTACGTTCCTCTGAGATGCTGAGGACAGTAAAGATGGAACAGTTGATTTAAAAGATGCAACTGCGTTGTCAGATAGAGACCGACTATAGTGAAATTTACTTTCATGACTCGAGAACTCAGTTATAAAAAAACTCAAAGGTTATCAGAAAGTGGTCCGATACTTCTCTTAGCATACGGTGAACTGAACTAAGATGGCGTGGGACTGGTTTTTATTAATCTGGATGTTTTGATTTACGGTCGAATCAAAGTTGGCAGATTTATAAACACCACAGAGGCTATGCCACGCTTCAGAATGAGTAAAAGCAATGTGTCATGCGTTTACATTACGTGTAATCAGGATGTCTAGTGCAGCTAGATTAAAGTCATATTACTTATTAAACTTACTAATCATAACATTGTCATTTCATAGATCAGTCAATATCTTATTATTGACTAACACTTTATTTTTAATAAAGATAATCAGAGTTCTTTGATTTATTAAAAGGAAAGAGTCCTTTGTCTTCATTCTTCTCTTGAGCTGGAAAGGAAACAGTTTAGAAGCAAATGCATGACCATGAGGCAGTCTCATGCAGATTAGTACTGTGTCAGAGGCATCTGAGGAGAGGGGGTAAATAACCTTCGGTGGAATAGCTCACGTTACACCTACAAATACAGGCCACTAGAGGGCAGTTGACAGGACTGCAGCAGGTTTTTGATGAAGGTACTAATCCTGATACTCCATCTGGATTATTCACGGCCAGATGGATTTTTGATGATTGTCTACAAGTTAAAGAAATGATTCATTCATATTTCATACAGAAACACAGAGCTGATACACACAGACATTTTCAAGTTTTTTTTTAAAAGCCTAAAATTTAAATGAAATTTAAGACCTCAGGAAGGTGTTTCCACTCATGATCGCTCTATATTTTCTTGCATTTATCTTTACTTCTGGGTTCCCAGTCCCCTAAACGCATCCAAAAAAATTACCCACATTAGTAATATATTCTTACATTTATATTCTCCAATCACCATACTGGGAAAAGGACACATTCACTCCTGTCTTCTAAATCTTTACTTTTTTATCTGTAGCTTTTTGAATAATTCATGTAAACCAGCTACCAGATCTCTCTACCTGAAGTCTAAAGTCTCAAATATCAGATTTATTTATAAAGCGCTTTTCAAACAAAGTGCTACTCAAAGTGCTTTACAAAATGACCCCAGGTTCCCATAACAGGTTAAAAACATTAACAGACATATGCACTCACACACACACACATGTAAAAATTATATTTGGCTGAGTCCAGATGAGCCCAGTAAGGTAAGGCAAGGAAACGCCATCAGAGGAGCCGTCTGCCCCGGCAGCATCAGGTCTTCCACACTAAGTCAGGGCGCTCAGGGGAGGGGGAGCATAGACCCCCACCTATAGAGCACCCAGGAAGCTACAGTCGACCACCGCTCCCGGGGCAGAGGGCCCCCACAGAGGAAACACTGGATTAAAATGAGTAAACATATCATAAAAGAGCTAATATAAATGACAAAAGTTAGAAAATAAGTAATAAAACCATATAGACAGTAAAATAATAATATTAAATAATAAAACTGTGCTAAAATATAATCATATAAAACATGCAAAGCAAGTAATAAAATATAATCATGTAAAACGAGAAATAAAACTGTAGTAAATATTTAGATGAAAGCTAACCTAAAAAGATGGGTCTTGAGCCTGGACTTAAAAACATGAACGTTCTCTGCGGCTCTGAGGTCCTCTGGCAGCTCGTTCCAGAGGCGAGGGCCATAACACTGGAAGGACGCCTCGCCGTGAGTTTGTGTCCTGACTTTAGGGATGACCAGGAGACGCCTGCCAGAGGAGCGCAGAGGCTGCGAGGGTTCATATTGTAAAAACAGTTCTGATAGATAAGAAGGCCCAAGACCATTAAGACACTTAAAACCATTAGAAGAACCTTAAAATGGATCCTGAAACATACGGGGAGCCAATGCAATAATTCTAAAACCGGAGTGATGTGCTCCCGCCTCCTGGTCTTCATCAGGACACGTGCTGCCGGATGTTGTAGAATTTGTAAGCCTGAGATGCTCTTTTTGGGAAGACCAGAAAGCAGGGCATTGCAGTGATCTATCCTACTGGTGATAAAAGCATCAGCGTCTCCGTATTGGCCCGAGAGAGAATGGGACGGACTCTGGCGATGTTCTTTAGATGATAACAACCTATTTTGGTGAAACTTTAAATGTGTGGGATAAAAGTCAGCTCAGAGTCAAAAATCACACCCAGGTTCTTCACTTGTTCAGATGGATTAAAAGACCGAGATTCATGTTCAGCTTTGAAATGAAGAACTTTGCAGAACAATACAGTTAAAATACACATAAACCTCTAACTCATCTGTGTGCTTTTTTCTTTAGCAAAGACCAGCTGGTCTTCTAGTTTTGTTCACCTAACCCTAACCCATCTGAAAACAACCCTTGAAGGACAGATTGGTGAGTTTGAATGAATGGTGCCAACTGGAATCTTTGAAATTAGACCAACTATTTTCCACATGAGCTGTAATTTAAACCCCAGAAAGTCTGAGTCTGGGTGAAAACGGTTATCTTTGTAGCATAAATGACAAAAGAATTATTTTTGCTTTGTCATAAATTGTGATATTTCATATCGTGTAGCTTTTGTTCAGTGAAGCATTTTGTGTGTTTTCTCCATGAAAGGTGCAATAAAAATAATTTACTTATTTGATTACAAATGGAATTTTCAGATTTGTACATCAGAGTAATTCATATAAAACAGATTTATGCTTTGTCCCATCCTGCACTTCCTGAGATACAAAGTTGGATGTAATCTGTTAAATGGCCACTAGATGTCGCCAAACTCTTTATACATAATTTCGTGGCATTTTTTTGCAATAAATCTACATTTTTTTAAAATCCATGTCCAGCAGTTTTAAACTTAATGTACCATACTTTATCCCAAGTAAAATGGAAGCTGAGAAAAAATTACAACAGCAGTTTTATTTTACTAAAATTAATCTCTCCAAAAATATATTAATAAAAAAACCTTCAACAAACAGCTTAAGACAAATAATGCTTAATAAATCGAGAGTACAACATGTTTTTCCATCCTGTGACGTGAAGAGCAGCAGCATTTTTACAAATATTTAAGAGGTTTAAAGCTCATGTTTCACTGGGGCTGAAGCTGCAGGCTTTTGATGAACACAGTCTGCAGCTCAGTGATGTCCTCAGTCGCTTCTATTGGGATGCTGAGTTTCAGTTCGGGCTCACACGCTCCATCGTAGCCATATTGGCTAAAGTGGTCATAGCGGGAAAACGCACAGCCCCCCACAGCACCCTGAGGATGCTCATAGATGTCCAAGTGGTGCTGTGGGGAGAGGCGGTTCAAGGCCTGGCCCTGGTGTGACCCGTGGTAAAGGAGATGCTGGTGGTGTTCAGGCCCCGGGCTGTGACATGGGCTTTGGGAAGGGCTGTGGGGCATCGGGCAGGTCTGCAGGCAGCTGTTCCGACGCATGGCCCGGTGGAGGTCCAGTCTAGCGATCAGTGGCTTTCCTATGTTGACACTTCTGGACCAGTATACGGGATGATCGTCATCCATGGCTGCAAAAGTGCCCTGAAGGCACACGGTGAAAACCAGCTCCTCCTGTTACATTATATTAGGAGAGAAAATAGTTTTCAGTAAGAGAAACAACCCAGATGCTTCCAGAGCTAAAAGAGAACCTTGGAGCAAAGGAGGATTGTAACAAACGATTAAAAAATGGGTTTCTGGTGTTGTTGTTGTGGAAAAAAGAACTGTTATGAACTATAAGCATCTTTATCAGACTGCAGAATATCAAACCCTAATGCATACTGTTGTAGTTTTTAATAAGTAAGCCTTAGTGTCACAATTGATCAGTCTATGTTCTTTGTACCCGGAGCTTCTGCAGCGAGCTGAGTCTGGTGTACAGACAGTGCTGTGGCAGACTGCTGGACAGCAGGTAGATCCCCGTCTCCTCTGGAGTCTCTCTGTTCATCTCTTTAGGATCCACATCTAGATCCTGAAAACAAGCAGGGACACTTTTCAACCTCAAAACCTAATCGATCTTTAACGTTTACAAAAACCAAGAAATCACAACTGTCAGATGAAAATGTGCGACATCACCAGTGAGAAGTCCGTGACATGAGCCTGGCAGAAAGACATGTCCTCTGGCTTCTTAATGATGTGAGTGTAAATGACGAGAACGTTGGAGAACTCCGCAGCGAAGCCCAGCTTGATCTGAGCCCCGCAGTCAAAATGAAGACTCATCGTCTCAGGAAGTTCTGGAACAACAAGCAAACACTTTGGGAACCAGGTTTTAGTTGCTAAAAACAAATCATGTTTAAAGAAAATATTTTATTTATTTGTAATGAAAATTATCCATAATTAATACTAAAAACCAAAACCACGTAAAATATCAAATCTGAGAATCTACCAAGAAGCCACGCAAATAAATCGATTTTTAAACTCGTTTCCCCCAAAAAATTAACAAGAAAACTTCAAGTTTTCATTTTCCAGGATTCCAAAGGCTACTTTTTATTGGGAAATAAAAACGCATAAACATCATTATAGTTCAAGTCAAACTGTATTCTTTTAGTGGAGCTAATACAGCCACATATCAAGCCGAGTTTCAATAAAGGAGACGAGTTTTTCCTTCAGAAAAATGACTTTACTGCAAAAAAGCAACATTTAAAGTTTTAAATGTCAACATTTAATTTTAAAGTTACTTTGAAATGGAATTAATACATTTTTAAATCTTCAACTTAATACATGATATAAACCGAATAAAGATGTTTAAAAATAAATAAAATACCTAACACAGGAAGGAGAAAATCTCAATAGTTTTGAGAAAAATTGCTTTCACAAAAATAAAAAAATACGCTTTTGAAGGAATAATTTAGATTTAGGCTGTTGAGTGAATTCAACACTAAAAACTTAGATTTAGTTTTTAATATGAATCACTGACACGTTTATCTCCTCAGACTCCTGAAAAGCTGCAAATACGGTATCTTTAGTTTTGTGCGACTGGTTGGCTGAAACCCAAGAGTAGCTGAGTCATGGTTTACAGATTTGTTTAGGCAACTATTTCTAAGAATATGATGTTAATCTAACAAGCTTCATGCAACAGTTGAGCTGTTGAAGGAAACTCCCATGGCCGTGTGTCTTTCCTGTAAAGATCGATAACTGCCAACATCTGGCTGAGCGAGACGTGTTCAACCTCCGGACGCTGAGAACTGAAGATTAGCATGTTTTATGTCATGCTGTGTGTTTGCTAGTGGGCGTACCGTGAGCTTTGGCCCACAGCCGGCTGTGAGCGAGATCGGCGCTGTCGCCGGGCAGAATAGGATCGGTCAGCGCTCTCCGCTCTGCCAGACTGCTGCGGATCTCCAGAGCCTGTTTACCCTTGGTGGCATCAAACTGGCCCATATCTGGAGACGAGAAAACCGTGAATTGATATTATTAATAAGCACCTGAATAAAAGCCGCAACCTGCTTACTTTTCAAATGGATAAAAAGTTGTAAATAATCTGGGCCACACTTGTCTACAAGCCACAGGTGTCCACTTTTATATGTCCAGGTAACGTGCACAAATACGTAGAGTAAATGGGTTTTTCCAACATGTGCCTGTGACATGGCTGGTTAAAAATAAATAAATAAATAAATAAATAAATACATACAGGTACAATAGCCTGCCACCTCCATCTTCCCACTCAGAAACAAACCATCCTCAGTCTCCCTTTTGCTGTCGCTGTCAGTATCCTTTTATAAGGAGGAATGGGACTGTTGCAGTACAGTAAAGTACTAATAATACTTCACCTTCAGCAACTCTGTCCAGCAGCACAGTGATCTTCTCATCCTCCATCAGCCGCTTCTTTAAAAACTTGACAAACACACCGTTGGTGAAACCCGTGGAGCTCAGCTCAAAGGCCTCAGCATCCTGGCACCTAAACAAAACAGACAAATGCGTCACGTTACAATTCTGAAATCTAAAATCGCAGAAGGAACTGGATTGTCTCAGACTCACGTTGCATATCCAAAGACGATGTTGGCTGTGACTCTCAGGACATTGTTTGGAGCGCTGTCGTCGTGAAAGTTCCTGGACAATAAATCGGTGAATAAAAATGATTAAAATGACGAGTGATCAGTTCAAAGTGCTGAAATACACGTGGAATTACTGACCTCTTTCTGCACATATCTAGCAGAAAAACATTGAGGCCCGTTTCTTTCTCCTGCATCAGTTTGAGGATGCTCTGCACACACAGACAGTTGGCTGAGCGGTACGGGTTCGGCGCATCAACCGGTACCATGAAGCTGTTCCCGTAGTTCTCATATCCGTGACCGGCGTAGTACAGCAGGCCTGCGGGCATATGAACAGGTCATTTCTGTTTTATTCGTCATAAATAGGGTCACATTTAACTTTAAAAATAAATGCATCTAAACTCCATTACCTTTAATTTTTTATTTGTAATAACTACAAATATCCAAGGTTATCGGTTCTATTTTGGCATTAAAACGTGATTTTGGCAATGATCGCTATCAGACTCTTTTATTTAAAGACAACTTTTACATACCAAGCACATCAAACTCTTGGGCTACTTCTCACTCAAAATGTCAAAATATAGACAACTCTGTTTAAAGTGTAAGTATGATAGGACACGCGTGATGTTAGGTACCTAGAATGATTTAGCGTTTCTGTTAGAATTGGGGGACGCCGCATATGTTGGTGGTGGTTAAAGTTGGTGTCGTGGACTATTTCGACGTATCGACTATCTGTAAAATGGTAAACGGTCTGTTTTTGATATAGCACCTTCTACAGCCCCCCAAGGGGCTTTATAACAGTCATTTACCCATGCACACACACTTTCACACCCTGGTGGTGATGAGCTACAATGCAGCCACAGCTGCCCTTAGGTGCACTGACTGAGGCAAGGCTGCCACGCACCAGCCCCACCGGTACCTCCGACCACCACCAGCAGGCACGGTGGGTTACGTGTCGTGCCCAAAAACACGACAACAATATTCTCTGCCAGGAACCAGGGTTGATCCTACAACCCTCAGATTTCCAGACAATCCGCTCTACCTCCTGAGCTGCTGCTGTAAAAAGCTGATATCAAACATCCCTAGGAATAGCGGAGCCCAACAAACCACAGGAGAGGTGTGTTGAAGCAAAGTCCCACCGTAGACACCCTTGTGTAGCAGCAGCAGGAACTCGTCCACGGCGTTTCTCATCTCCGACTCGGTCAGGTCCAGCAGTGAAACAACTTTAAAGTTCAGCTGCTGCAGCAGGTTGCTGAGGTCGTACACATCCACCATGGGGGCTTTGAGCTGCGGGTGGTTCTGGTACGAAAGATTACCAATCAAGAGGGCCACTTTGTTGGTCGCTGGAGGGTTGAACATGGGAGAAGGAAACAAAAACCGTTTCAAAAGGTAGAAAATGACGTGAAAAGGTGAGCTGAGAAAAAATATTCTGTTCATCGCAGTGAATACATGACTGTCCACAAATGCCTTGATCAAAATCAGAAAACCTGCAACGTCTTTATATTTGCTCTGAAACTGGACTAAACTTCTTGTTGTCAGGACGCTGTTGTTGGTTTGCAGCCGTGAAACAACCACAGACGGTATAAACCATAGAGAGAGCCTCCAGGTGTGAAAAGTGATGCTAAAAACCATCATCTATGAACAGATCTACAGATACAAAACGGGAAACCAGGAACATTTTCAGTAACGTTCTTTAGGGGAACTTTTGACTTTTTTATGACAACCGACTTCAACAGGAAAAGAACAAACAAACCATAATTGTCAGTGGTTTAAATGAGACCTATCAAAGACGTCACGCCTCACAAAAACTACAAAAGCCGGTTCATAACATGCAAAGGTCTGCTCTAAAAGGATCGGTCATTTCCTCAAAACATGCGTGTGTCAGTTAAAGTGTCAGAGGCATCAGCGTGAGAAGTCCTGCAGCCATTGTTGGATAGTCCAGCGGCTTCGTCATGCTTTCATTACGACCCGTTCCAATGCAAAAGAGTCCAGCTGTGCACAATTTTAAACAACATACTCTGTATTTGGTAGTCACTGGTTGTGCAAGTAGACCCACTTAAAAAGGTGAGAGGTTAGTGGTTTTCATCAAAGGTCCCTTCAACGTGAGAAAGAATGTTAAAGAAATCCAAGCTCTTCTATATCCTCATTGCATTTATTACTGGCAACTATCTGAACTTGTTATCTGTATAATGGACCTGTTTACACAGCCTGCTCCAACTTCCACCAAGGCCAAGAACGGGGAGCTGTCTAAGGACACCTGGGGCAAGATTGGCTCATCCCAGGCTTGTGCAGGTGTACAGTCTACAATAAACAAGCAGCAGGGTGAGAAGAGATCAATTATTAGCCCCCTCGACCTGGGGCTCCATGCAAGATCTCACCTACGAAGGTACAAATGATCTTGAGACAGATGAAAAACAGCCCAGAACTATATGGGAGTGTAGCGTCAGTGACCTGAAGAACACACCAACCTTAAAGCATGGGGGTGGAAACATTATGCTTTGAGACTGCTTTCTGCAAAGGGGACAGGATGACTGATCCATTTTAAGGAAATTAATGAATGGGACCATATATTATGAGATCTTGGGCGATAAAAAGTCCTATAGTGAGAACACTGAAGATGACATGTGGCTGGGTCTTCCAGAATGACAACGATCCCAGACACACTAACCCTAACCAATGAATGAGTGACTACGTAAGAAGCATTTGTGTGACGTTTGGACATTGGATTACGCAAACCAAGTCTTTATTTTTTTACTGTAACACGAATTATTCTGACCAGTAACGGTTAGACTGAATTTACACCTTTGACTTAATGAAATTAGCTTTGTTTTGTTGCTGAGTTGCTTGAGTTTTGCAGGTAGAGTAATGGAACTCATTTTGCTGTAAAGAAGAGTCTGGGCTTTAATTTAAGTGGCTGCTTCTGTGGATAGGATCATAGTGCATTGTTGCTGAACTGGTCCAACACACCCACTGCCAACTGACTGGCTGGCTCAAATTCACGATTTAGGAAGAGCCTCTGATTGGCGGATAGAATCAACCATGGGGGGGGGGGGGGTGTGTGTGGGGCTTCCTGCATGCGCTAATCATTATGAATCTGGATGTTGAGAAGTAAATGTTGCCACTGACTGATGCTGCGGCAGCTCTGTCTGTTTTTCTCACTGCTGTAAGGAGCACACACACACACACACACACACACACACACACACACACACACACACACACACACACACTTCCCCGTTCCTGAGAAGTGTGTGTGTGAACAAACCCTACCGGTTCGGGACCCGGACCAACACCACCCAGTTGGATCGGTGCAGGCCCAGATGTGAAACTAGAGACAATGTTGAGGTAGAAAACTGGATTCTATCATAAGATTGGTAAATTGGCATCCCCTAGTGGTGATATGTGGTTAGTGCATCTAACAGACCGTAAATGCACCCCCACCCAAACAAACTGGACCAACCGCTACTGGACTCTGTGGAGGGAGTTGGGATTCCACGTTGCTCAGAGAGGCTCTAGAGAGGATTTACCAGGAAGAATGAGCCAAAATACCGGCGGCTACAGTGTGTGCGACACTGGCGAAGACCTACAGGAAACGTTTGACCTGTTATTGCCAACCAAGATCACGTTACAAAGGTGAACTTTTGTTATTAACCAAGTACTACTTTTCTGCATCATCATAAAATACATTATTTAAACATCAATGTGACTTCTCACAGTTGACGTGTGCCTGTGATAAAAATTACAGACCTCATCTTTTTAAGTGGGACAACTTGCACAACCAGTGGCTCCCAAGTTTGGCCCAACTGTACCGGAACCGAACGGGAACATAGGACTGTAAATCCTTCTTACACATATAGATGCTTGTCTTCGAGAGAAACCGTTCTAGTTGGGGAGACATTTTCAGGAAGAAAAAGCATCACTTTGCTTGACAAGTTCTGACGATTCAAGAGTTTTGAACGTAATGACTCGAGCAATGAATACGTTTAATAAGGAATGACTTCAGCGTCACAGGTATGGTACATTCTGACACGACAACACAAAGTAAGAATATTCTAAAACAGCAAAGAAATTGTATGAAAGCAAATGATGCATCAGGTCCAAAAGCACCGAAGGGATTACAAACTGCTGCTAGGACGTGCACAGATGGCTGAACGTTTGGAGGTTTGAACTAACACTTATGAGAATTTTTATTTTCATCAGAGAA